AATCGACGTTCTCAAAAATGGAATTTAGGGCGCAACTTAAGGAGGACGGGATTAAGTTATTGAACAATTAATTAATGTTTTACTCCACCATTAAGCACAAAAATGAAACCGTAGGCAAGATTTTAAATTTAAATTTTTTTTGGAACAGATGTTTCAGATTGAAACAAGTCTGATTTTAAAATTGGTGTTTAGAGAATAATAATTATATTATTCTGCAATATTTTCAAAAGTAATCTGAGCCCAGCAAGCAAAGATTCTATGAGAAAAATCTCTATTTTTCCGAATAAATATACCGTAGGGCACAAGGATAGAGACACTAAATACAGTATGGACAAAGATCAACGGTTTTCTTTTCGCATGTGAGGGCAAGATTCTCAGTATATTATCACTATTTCAAGCACAAAGAAAAACTCATATGCTCTTTTTTAGTCTATAAAAACGGATAAAAATTATTTTAAGACAAACTATAGGGCCTCACGCGGAGCTACTAGACTATTTCAAGTAATTTTAGTAATAACGGGGAATAAATACTTCAAAACGTATCCCTGCTCGTACTTGACCGGTTTTTGGGAAGAAGAAATGTAAATATGAACGCAGTATGATGCTGCCAAGGCACAACTTTTCACCGGAAAGAATTAAACCGCAAAATCGCTTGAACGATGGGATTTATCTTGTAAGGGTCCTCCAAGTGGCGTTTACGTGACAATTGACATGTAAAGACCACGATGTTTCCACTCGTGTTTACAAATCATCTTGTAAAGAACAGTGTTGCTACATTGTACAGAAAATCACTGATAATTAGAACACACCGGTGTGTTTATTTCGATTATTTTCCCGCGTATAAGCATAAGCTGAGTGTCCCCGTTATCTGCGGGTGGAGAAATGGAGCCAAAAATTGCATTGTCCCGTAAAATATCTTCCTGTCTTTTTCAGGCAAGGAAGAGTTTTTTTTTTTTCACGTCCGATTTGAAGAAAAAATATATTAAATCATAAAATAAATGTGCCGTATGGGGGACTGTTGTCACAGGTTTAGCAATCCTGCGGACCCCAGCTGGTAGCCCCTGCCTCAAAGGGGGCAGTGGAGATGGTCACCGGCCTCTGGGCGTATGAACCACCTGCTAGAAGGGCAGACAGGGCTCTGAGCTGAAGTGAAAGCAACCTGTCTAGGAGAGGCAACTCCGAAATCAAACCCTGGTCCTCCAGGTTGGGGGTTGAGTCATCGGGCTAACTCCCCGGTACTTGTAAAAAGTTCTACTGTTAAACGACCTAACAATACAAGCCTCGGTACCACTAGAACTAAACGGACACGTCGACAAAAATTGAGAAAACGGACAATGGTATTTGGGACGTGGAATGTCCAAGGCATTTCAAATAAGTTACCGGAAGTGATATCGGAGATTCAGAAACTTGGAGTGGATGTCGCTGTTCTTACTGAGACCAAGAAAAAAGGGCACGGGTCAGAGAATTACGGTGACTATGATCTATTCTACAGCGGCGTAGCCAAAGATCAGCGTGCTCAGCAAGGAGTAGCAATACTTTTGCGGAGAAGCCTACGTAAGTTCGTGGGCACTTGGGAGGCCGTCAACCAGCGCATCATCAAAATGAACCTTAACCTGTACGGACATAAGATCACGCTGCTCGGAGTATACGGTGTAAATGATGATGCCACTGTCGCATGTAAGGACCAATTCTTCGAAGATCTGAATGATGAAATACTGAACGTTGGTGCTGGCAGGGAAGCCATTCTTATGGGTGATTTGAACAGCAGAACGGGACGACGAGTAAACTGTAAAGTTGTTGGACCGTTTGGGGAGGATGCTGTTAATGATAACGGTGATCGGCTCATCTCAATTTGTTCTCAAACTGAGATGAAAATTTTGAATGGCTTTTTTCAACACAAAGACATCCATAAGTATACCTGGGTCCAGCCAACGCGAGGATTGAAATCCATCATCGATTATGTAATTGTAAAGCACACTACTAAGTTGAAATTGCAGCAAGTTAGAGTGTGCAGGGGACTCTCTTGCGGCAGTGATCATCATTTCCTCCGAGCAGATATAGCGTTTCCCGTTAAAGGGATTAAAGATAAAGAGCCAATGCCTGAGCAACAGCAGAGTCAGGGAACGCAAAATCATGAAGTATGGTATAACATCGAAAGTTTGGAGCACCCTAGTGTCAAGGCTCTGTATCGGAAACGCTTAGATGAGAAGCTGGGGGATGGACTCTCGGGTACCACGGAAGAGCAATATCAGTTCATCAAAGATTGTATCCACTCTGCAGCGAAAGAAGCCCTAGGTGTTCACAAAACCAGTAATAAATACCAGCATCCTTACTGGTGGGATGAAGAAATTGAAGACGAGATAAATCTTAAGAGGCAAAAACACCTTATATTTCTGTCGTCTAAAAAGACTGAAGATAAAGTTGCTTACAGGAAAGCTCAGTCTAAAGTTAGGAGCCTCATAACACGGAAGAAGAATGAAGCTTGGGAAAGCAACTGTTCTAGAATTAACACCTACCTAGGGGGGAGAAAAAGTGCTGAGAGCTGGAAGTTAATTAAAGGTTTACGTAGAGACATGAAGCGCGACATCGTTTCTCCGATATCACTTAAAAAACTGGAGGATCATTTTAAAGATCTTTTGACGGAAAGGCGCCCAGAGTTTCGCGACAACAGCACGGACAACAGAAGAATGAACAACTTGGAGATCCACACTTGTGACATAATTAAAGCGGTTAAAGAGCTAATTAATGACAAAGCACCGGGTCCTGGTGGGATTCCTGTCGAGTTGGTCAAGTACGGGACTGCCAAGCTCTTTGAGTGCCTCAGAAAACTGATGCAACAATGCATCAGGGGTGACGAGGTACCAAGGGAGTGGAAGGAGTCTTGGATCAAGGCCATCTACAAAAAGAAGGGAAGGAAGGACGACTGTAACAACTACCGGGGGCTCTCAGTGACCGGGACAATAAGCAAAGTGTACGGGAAGATACTGAAAGCGAAGATCGAGGACGAATGGCAGGATCACGAAGCAGAGGAGCAGGCTGGTTTTAGAGCTGGCAGGTCTACGATAGATCACCTCTTTGTTATTGTCCAGGTCATTGAGAAGAAAATGGCCGTAGCTCAGGAACTGCATTTAATTTTTGTGGATCTCCAGAAGGCGTATGACAGCGTGCCGTTGGTGAAACTTTGGGAGGCCTTGGAAAAATCGAATTTTAACGGGGGGTTGATTGACGCTGTTAAGCGATTTTATAAAGGGAGTTTTACCAAAGTTAAGTGCCATGGGGGGTTGTCAGCGGGATTTTATGTGACTAAGGGTTTAAAACAGGGATGTTGTTTGTCGCCAACATTATTTAAAATTTATCTCGAGTGCGTGCTAAAAGAATGGAAAAAGAAATGCTCTGGTATGGGTGTCCCCTTGGGTGATCTCGAAACTCTGTTTACTCTGTGCTTTGCTGATGACCAGGTGGTGGTTGCTCAAGATCAAGATGACGCGGAATACATGATGCGCAAGCTAGTAGAAGAGTATCGGAAGTGGGGTCTGGAAGTCAGCATATCCAAATCTGAGAAGATGACTTTTGGCGGTGATCAGCAAAGCATTGAGTTGGAGGATGGGCAGCAGATCAAAGGCTGCGAGCACTTTAAGTACTTGGGAGTGCGGTTGACCCAGGATGGAAGGACGGATCAAGCTATCAGGGAAAGGAACACCTTAGCAAGGAAGGCTATAGCGATGTTAAATGGAATCCTCTGGGATCAGCGGATTTCCAAAGATAACAAGATGAGGATATACAACGCTGTAGTCAAAAGTATATTAACATACGGATGTGAAGTTTGGCAGCTGAAGAAACGGACACAGGATATGCTAAGAGCAACGGAGATGGATTTCTGGAGAAGGTCAGCAGGAATTTCTAGGAGAGATCGTGTCCGTAATGATAGAGTGCGTCAGATAATGGAAGTCGAAAATGACATCGTGTTCGACGTCATGACCAAACAACTTGTTTGGTATGGTCATGTCAATAGGATGACGGAAGAGAGGCTGCCAAAAAAGATGCTTGATTGGGTTCCTCCTGGGAGGAGACGTAGGGGACGCCCAGTGAGAGGTTGGCGACAGGGGGTGTTAAATGAGATAAGAGATTGTCAACTCCCTGATGACCTGTGGGAAGACCGAGCTTTGTGGCGATTAGGCGTCGCACAGCGCCAAAGAGCGCTATAAAAGCGACTCATATATATATATAAAATAAATGTTCCACTAGCCTTTGATTGCCGGTTTCTTTGGTGATATGACTACATTGGTTCGGTGTTAGTTTGAATCAAACGATTTAAATCCGCGGCACTTTTAAATTGCGATAAGTGGAGCGTTATTCAGCCTCTTGAACTATGTTTGTAAATTTGTCGTATGTGATCAATTAATTCATTTCTCCTTTCATTCACTGAAAGATTCCGGGACTAGTATGACTGAAAGTTTTTAAGATATGATTCTTACAATTTCACCGTTTCGTACACTGAGAAAAAACAAGCTCAGTTATTCTATACGGTTACCACGGTGGTAATGTCACCTGGGATTCCGCGGCAGTAGAACCGTGATGTCACCGTGTTCACCGTAATTATACTGTGCGCACAATATAATGCTACTTCCAGCATGGTTATGCTTCTATGCTCATAATTTTAATAGTGATATATTTTGATTTGTAAGTGCACATTTTTCAACAACTAGAACAAATATGTCAGGGTTAGTGAGGATAGAGGAAAAAAAAAGAAAAGAAAGAAAAAGAGAAATGCAGATTTTTAAAAAAGGACTCATGCTGAATACTGCGCTTCACTATAAAAACATTCGGCAATAAAGACATTTTTTAAAATATTAAGAAAATTCAAATCAATAATCTTACTGGAATCCAAGGTTTTACTATCGTGGAATCCCGTGTGACGTCACTACCGTGGAAACTGTGGAATAACCGTGGTTTTTTGCTCCGAGTGAAGTTGAAAATTTAGAGGAGAAAGTTCCACAAACCTGGTAGTAGATAATATCGTAGATGCCCGTTGAAAATTGCAGGACATGAAACGTAGACAAAATCACAAACGGCTTCCACACGATCGGCTCGAAAAACGACTTGAGTTCCAATTTCTCTTGGTTGCTCTTGCGTTCCTTCAGGTCGTCCATCTCCCGAAGAACATCCGCCTTGCTCCTGCCGAGCCGCTCCAGACTCCGGAGCGCCTCGTCCTCTCTCCCATGCCGGTAGAGCCACCCGGGAGACTCGGGGACGAACCACTGGACGCCCGCAAAGGCAAAGGCGGCCAGGCTGTAGGCCAGACAGGCCGAGTTCCAAGAGACAAAGGCACTCATGACCGTGCAGATGAGGACGCCTCCGGAGAACATGGTGGAGATCGCCGAGAGGAAGAGACTCCGCTGAGTCGGCGTGCAGATCTCCGCGATGTAGACAACTGCGCATGCTTTGAAACCTGGAAAAAGAAGGACACTGTCTAAGTGAGGAGTATGTGAGTATGTAAGATAGGCCCCGTCTTTCAGAAGGAAGGCTGCTGAAGAAGGTGCGTATTGGGTTCCTCCTGGGAAGAGACGAGGGGGACGCCTCGTGAACGGGTGGCGACAGGGGGTTTTAGAAGAAATGATGTTCATAAATAATGACGCGTCGTCTATCGGTCGCAGCGATTTTAGCGTTCGTCCCGTCAGCGAGGGTCGACAGGGCGGTCAAGACATCTTCGCAGTTTGACGCGCCTTCAATCCGGCGGGGCTGCAACATGCTTACACCCGTGGTCAAATAGTTGTATGTCACGCCTGCCGTAAACGAACTCAAATATCGATGGTTCCACGCGAAAAGGAGCTTATTTACCTCGATTGCAACGTTGCAAACCACGGTTTATGCTTCACATGCATTCAATATTTTTCAAAAGATACGCTCTGATTCTCTGTAAAATTTACAACAATTTTATGCACGATTTTAATTGAAATCATTGGAAATTTCGTCGCGATATTATATTTAGGCCTATTTTCCTTTATTTCTTTTTACGGAAAAAAACCATGATCCCAGATACTAAATCGTAACTATTAGGATAGTTAGTCTTGTTTATTTTACTGTGAAAATTAGAAGACAGTCGTGCCAAATCTCTGAAGGGCTTTGGGAGGATAGGGGGTTTGGGTGGCAGAATGTAGTGGAACATCAAAGAGCGCTATAAAAGCGGCTTGTAGGTATGTAAACTGGACCGCGCTACGTGGAAAGGAACGAACCAAGCCGCATAAGCTGTTGCTAAAAATTGGACAATTTAATTTTTGCATGAAGATGGTTGTTAATTGGACAATTTAATTTTTACATGAAAACGGTTGTGCGGATTTTTGTGCAGAATTCGGTGAATTTTCTGCATAGTGCGTGATAAATTCCTTGAAATTTTCCAGAAAACCGCACAAACGTTCCCCTGTAAAAGATTAAATTGCCCGATTGAGTTCGGCAATAGTTGATGTGGTTTAAGGACATTTTGTCGACGATTTTTTGTCCGCGCACCTTTTTTGTCCAGTAGTTTACGCCCACACGTAAAATAAGCAACGGTGACTTGGTTCAAGCATTATATTTTAGTTGGTATGTAAAATTATATTGACAATATGGAAATGAAAAATTGAGATAGAAGGAGGCATAGTTATGGTTGCTCATTTTCTAAATGAACGGTTATTACTTTCTCCTTTTGAATCATATTTTTAAATTGTCATTGGAGAATATTTGGTTTTATTTCTATCCTTAAAATATTCAAAGAACAATTTACCTTATATGTGTTTAGGTACTTTTTTTTAATTTTTTCTTTACGATTTTATTACTTCATTTTTGAAACATTTATAGTTTTAAAACGTGAAAAATATTTGTAAAACCTTTTCCAAGCGACATTAATCTCAATAAGCCGCAGCTGTGCTGACAAAAACTGCAAAAATGAATAATTAAAGAGGGAAAAAACCAAGAAGCACGCAATCTTTAGTTTTAACCCATCAGTACATCGACCTTTTAGAGTCAAATAAATCAAATTTTGAGCGTTTGGTTGCTCGTACACCTCACTGCAGCACAATGAAAGCACAAAATGTAAAAGAAAAAAATTAAAGTGCTTTGGAAATCATTAAACTTGACACGAAACCACCAATATTTAAAAAACACGTACTATACAATTATTCTCCTTTGATAAATTGATACATATTTTTTTCCCATCAATTTAAATGAGAATAATCAATGCAGAGTGTGCAAACATTTCAAAATCCTGAGTTAAAAAACGCTGACTATGTGAGTATAAATATTAAAGCCTAAGAGAGCGGAGCGGTGGCGTGCTGCCAGCCCGAGAGGCTCACTGGCGCCTACAAACCTAAGTGGATACTTCACGCATTGCACAATGCTTGGAGTATCCACTTAGGTTTGTAGGCGCCAATGCGCGTTTCGTGCGGGCTGCCCGCCCGCCGTGCGGCAGCGCCTGAAGCAACTATTTCACAACAGAGATGTTGCACAGTATTATACGAAATTGAACGTATTAAGAATGACAGGCACCCTTTAAAAGTACAGATCTTTCCTCGCAAAATAAATCAAGATACATATCGTACACAGGAAAAATCTAACAGCCTTTAGCTGAGGCAAATATAGAGGTTTATCCGGTTCAGGTATAACAAGGTGGGAATTTCCTGAGAGATAATTAAGTCCTGTTACACCAAAGAGGTGTAGAGAGTTTTAGTGAATTTTGTCTCGTGGAATTGACGCTACCACATTTTTACCAAAACTCTCAACTATATATAATTCTCCGTTGGACCGAACAGACAAAACAAAAAAACAAGCAAACCCTCATTCTTCCAAGACATTTTACATTTTCATCCAAAAACGTCGTGAGCAATCGTCGTTTGTATTTGCATGTGGGCCAAATAACTTTGGGCCTCAACTGGCACGTGGACCAAAACTCCCGTGCCGAAAAAACGCGTAGACGTAAATTACTGGAAAAAACAGGTGCGCGGACAAAAAATCGTTGACGAAATGTCCTGTAACCGTTGATGTGGCTTCGTTCATTTCTGCTTATCGTGGTCAAAATAGGACTGCCCGTGAGAGCATTTTTGGACCTTGAAAGAGCACGGAAAAAATTAAATGTTGCTTTAGCATTTATAATGTTAAAAAAACGTGCGAGAAGATTCAAATGCTATTTTTACATGAAAAAAAATGCTAACTTAACTACGGCTACGGTTAAATTGACATATTCAAAAGTAAAGTTAGCATTTGAAACATCTCGCACATTTTTCCAGGATGATAAATGCTAAATCAACATTTTTTTTCCGTGAGGCCAAGGACTGATTTTATTTATTTCTATTATTCATTTTGCAATTCGTACATGGAATCCTTTTTAGACAGTGGCACAAGAGAAAGTGGGGGGGGGGGGCGACTTACTTTGAACCCAGGTTAAATTTTGGGTGAGAGTAATCAAAGTTCTCGTAGTATTCATCATACATACCCGTCGTTACCTGGACGAAGGAACATAACTCGATTCCAAGGTTGCAAAATTGACTCAAACAATTTAATTGTTTACATGAATGTACCTGTGCAATTTTTATCGAAAGTCTCTGATTTCTGCACGAGAATGGAGAAGAAATCAGTGACATTTTTAATTAGAATTTCTTATGATTTTCCTGCTAGAAATGTAATTTGTGAGTGGATATTTTACAACATTGAAATGTAGTTATGTCCTTGTGTGGGGGTAACGACTATACGTGCAGGTAGTTTTCCAGCACTAAGCTAACCTAGCCTGGCCTTACTCAAAATACGTAATTTACTTGAAATTTATGAGCAGTCGTGCTTTCATACGTAAACTTTTAGAATTTTCCTACGTTGAACACCAGCAGTGGCTATGAATACCGGTCAAGAGAGAGATGAATAAAATTACCGCGTGATTCGGATGCATTTACACCTGAAAAAGCCTTTTTCCGGGGACCTCATTTTGAACATGGTGCCTGAGTACATAGCCAATGGCGGGACCTCTTGACGTAACAACAATTTTTTCGTCTTTAATTGACTTTACGGCTTAATTTTCTTGTTTGTTCAACTCGCAACACGTCTCTGTAATAATAATACTGTGCAGTCCAAGTAAATACCAATTATATCTGGAATCCAATCAATAACAAGCCGTTGAAATGTGTTCTTCTTTTATCGACGCATCCTCTCTAGTATGCATTCTTATGAAAAAATTAAACACTAGCCACACTGAAGGTGATTCTGCCTGCAGGGTAGTCTGTGGTTTACATTAAGGCCACATATTTCGTATATATTCTAATTGAAATTTAACGATTCCAATGAGAGCTATGATCTTTCTCAATGTGATTTTTCTACACAGCGTAAAAGGAGCTGAGGTTTCTTCCCCATTTTTTTTTTTTGTTTTTTTTTTAAATTTCCGATGATTTTTTAAAACTGTTTTACAAACCGCCCTACTATGATATCGAATCAGATCTCGTTCATTTTTAATGCGTTACGTAAAGTATGAAAACTCTTTAACCCTTACATGCCCTAGTCAGGTTAGATTGGCCCGTAGCTCGCTAAAACACGTGGCTTTAGCTTTAGGTCACGTGCTGTCAACATATCGACGGTGTAAGTCGGGAATCAAATAACTCGATTTGCGACGTCGCAGACTTCTTGTCATATTTTATTTTTTAAACGGAAAACTACTCAACGGCAATTTTTTTAAAACTACTTTGATTTATCCTCTCTGTGCGAGGAAAATTATGCATAAACTTCAAAAAATGATGTCGATTTCCTTTAGAAAAATACCATAGAGGCGGAGATTTTCAGACACCGCAAACGATATATGTGATTGCGGACTTACGCCGTCGATATATCTGTTGATACGCCATGAAAGAGAATCAGAAATCGAATTGAAAAAAAAAATCGAGTTTCCTAAAAACCGAAAATAGGAGAGACGTAATCTGGCCTCGTTTCCCTCCAATCTGAGCGACACCTTATTGGCAGAATAGAGCGGAGCATTGCAGGTACACGCCTTTCGCTACTACGCCTTCGATTTTGCAGATGCAATACGGACATCCATCAAGCATGAATAGTTGTATCTCTGCGCTGTCATAAACATGCGTTGAGGTGTCTCTTAGTTTTGAAATTTAAGAGAACTTAAGGTTAAGTTCGCTCAAGATATACTATGCTGTGCTCAAATTAACATTTTTTTTGGTGAAGGGGAGGGGGGGGATAGGGACATGTAAAAATATCATCGGCACCTAAATTCAAGCATCGGACCGATGATCTCCACATTCCAGCCACATTCAGCTCCCATATTCAGCGTGTGATTCCGGCTCAAGTTTGAAAAAACGAAAGTTGAGAGAGTTGCTTACTAGCCTTCGCAAAATGCACAGATGATGCGGCCGATGTAAATCTGCGTGACATCCATGGACAGTGCGATCACTCCAAAACCGGATCCAATGGTGAGGTAGAAAATAAGGATTCCAACTTTTCGCCCAAATGCATCTACAAACGGTCCGATCAGAATAGCGCCGATTGGAGCCGTCACAATTCCCAAACTGGCTACGAAACGAAATCAACAAGCAAGAAGATCAACTAAACGTATTGAACATTATCGAAACGAATTCTCCTGTCTAAACTGTGTCAAACTTCGAGAAAAATTCAAAAAGCTGTAATCCTGCAGCCATGCTGTTTTGATTTAAGTAAATTTTGGATTCGTTTGGAATTTAATACGCATGCAAAGCCGGAAAGTAAATCAGCAGTTTTTAAGTATTTTGAACGGTGAGACTTGAAAACACGGTTAAAAACGCGAATCTCTCTCATTTTTCTAAATATTGAAACGTTTTATGGAGGGAGACGGAAATTAGAGAGTTGCCGCTAAAAAGGAAATGATAACCATCTTTGCAAAAACTTTGGAGCTAATATACCAGACTTACTTTGTATAGAACGTGCATAATTTACTATATAAGGCGCACCGAAAAAAAATTGAAGTTCATTTAACATTCTGGATGTAAAAAAAGTGTGCGAGAACTTACAAAATGCTAAAATACCTGCCACAGCAGTTACTTCAGCAATGCCAAGATGTAAAATTAAGTGCTGTGGCGGGTAATTCAGCATTTATAAGTTCTCGCACACTTTTTTTACATTCAGAATGTTAATTTAACTTCCCTTTTTTTTCGGTGCGTCTTTTTTAGTGGCTGAGATAAGCAAAGTAACAAAAAGTTCAGGTAAAAGAGAAAGAGGAAGTTGCGATATGCCCAGAGCTCCCACTTTCCAATAGAATACGTATTTTTTTCCAAACTCAACGTATAGATAGATGTCTTTTGATAAATAAAGTCGAAGTTGAGTAATTAATTCTTTTACAAAACTTTTCTTGTGCTATTTCAGTTCCGTCGTAAATCTTTACATACCTACCCATGTTTCCTGATCCTCTGAGACGCGTATGAAACTGTCCCTCTTTTTGAATTGAGCCAACATCACGGCTGACAGGCCCTCATTTATCCCAATGAAAACATACAGAACCAATGCAGCACTGCCAGCAAACAGCTGAAAATTTGGGAAAAAAAGAATCACTTTCAAATCTGAGCATCTTATGAGATACCTGTCAGAGACATAATAACGTGCAAATATCCGAATTCGGAGGATTAAGTGTTATCTCAGATCGGAAATAAATCTGAATGACGACAATTCATTGAAGAGAAATTTGGTTTAGAATAAAGATTGTGGAAAACGCAAACATTTAGTTTACCTCACTCTGGCTCCTTGGTTTTACCGCTTATGGCTAAAAACAGATCAATTTTTTTCTGACAACACATCATGCTACTACCCGTAGTTTTTTTTTTGTGTGTGTGTTCAATGATACAGCTGTAATCAGACTTCACAAAAACATATTCACGCGCTTCAATTCTTTATTTGAACCCAAGTACGCGAGAGACTCTGGGTTAAAAGCACTCATAGCGGGTACATTGCTTCATGTGTATAAATTGTTTACACACGTTTATTCGCGTGTTTCATTTTGGAAAATAATACCTCTCACGTATGTTCCTCAATCTAGAAAGCCCCCTCATCCCCCATTCAAGCGCTAAAGGTAAACAGCTGTTTAATGTCGGGGTGGAAACATGTGCCTTTGGATTTTTTTTTTATATTTTTCAAGAATTGCGTTTTGGCAGAGCACATCTTTCATTATTGACCGTTTAAAAATAATCATTTGCATTTAGAAACTGGAAAATAGGTGTAATTATTCCTGCATAAAGTTCCTCACAGGTTTGACTTCTGAATCGTAAATACAATAGGTATCAAAACAACGAGAACTCACGGTCCGAAACCAGCAACTCCAAGTCAAAGTCTCAGGATCCTCTTCTTTTTTAATCCTCATTTTTAGTCAGCCGCCCACACTGTATCTAAAACTATCGAAAATATCCTTTGACTCGAATAAAACACCGTTCACCGTCGAACCTTCGCATCGCGGAATCAAGTCACCATATCGCGAGGGTACCGCATGCAATAGAACTGATCTCATTTACGCGGGAGAATCCAAGATCAGGGTCGAAACGAGATGAGTCCATGCATGATGCGCGCGCGTGCGAGATACCGTTAGGATTGACAGCTATCAATCTTGCATCCAAACAAGCCACGTGATGCCAGGTCGCGGATCGAGAAAACCTAGGAGACTGCCTGTGGAAACCCGATGGTTGAGCAAGAACGACCGGCGGAAATTACCGTATGCGTTGGATAATAATTTTTCTCGGATGCTCGGGAGAGGCGGCGAAAATTTAACTAATAATCAGGCTCTGCTTACGCGCGTCATTTTGCGCAATTATGTATGGAAATGTCAGGCCGAGAGAAGCTTCATTACTTGAGGGCTCCGACGAGTAGAGGAGGCAATTGGATATCTTCTACTGCTAGATTTTTATCCTCGTTTGGAATTTGGACCTAATTTATCAGATAGGAGCTAACACACATTAAGTTGAAACTTAGGAGAAGAGCTTTAAACTTTTATTCCTGCAAAAAGCTCGATGTAAAAAATAAACTTTAACCCCTCTTTTCACAAATTAATTTCTTTTTTTCGACTTTCAGATTTTGGTTGATGAAAATAAACGACCGGAGGAACTCAAAAGTATTCTTAAATTATTTTTTTCGAAGATGTGGGTTGGTTCCTTTCTGATAAACTTACTCCATTTATAAGGAAGGACAAATCAGTAATATAAGCCTGGCTTTAATTAAAATTCTGCGATGTTGAGCCAAATTCCAGGGAGAATATAATGATGATATAATGAAGCCTGCCTTGCAATAAGAATTATATAGGTGATTTACAGCTAGTCTTGACCTTCCTCAGGTGTAAAACAATTTTTCCTCAAATTTCGCAGAGATTTTCCTTTGATAGAGAAGAATTGCACCTGCTAGAAGGGATCTATGCAAGCTAGGATTCAGGGAAAATCTTTTAAATACATGAAACATTGTGAGAGTAAAAGAAAGGAGAGAGAAACGTATCGAAATGTTTGAATTATATATTCTCATGGTCTAGCAAAAAGACAAATGAAGTCTCTTAATTTGTTTGAAAGTTTGGTGCATTCCTAAAATGTATTTGAACAAAATATAAAATGTGTGCGTTCGTTAGTGTCAGCATATCATCAGCGCATCATGGAATCAATTGCTGAATTATACAATTTTCAACGGAGTCAACATCATGTTAATTGAGGACCTCCACGTGGAATGTATTATCGCGGCTGATGTCACTTTCTCCCGTGTAAAACTCATTGTCAGACTTAGGTCAGTTTGCATTCCGCACTGTTCAGTTCTGTGGTGATCTGCTTTTTAAAGAATAGACCTATCACAGCGACCTATAGCGAATAGACCTACAGCGAAAACACTACTTCGATATTCACTGGAAGGAAGTTCTTTGGAATAATTTAATGCAATCAAATTTTTTTCCTCATATTTTATCCCATTGAAGAAATTATTCTCTGAAACATGGAAAAAACTAAGAAATGCACGCAACAATGTGTACACCTAAACGATAAGCATTTAATGAGAGCTGCTCTTATCAATGGGGCTCCATTATATAGGCCCACCAGTTCACTTGCCACCGATGTGTCTCATCTCACCGTCTCCTTTGCCAGATGGAAGTTTTAATGTAAGTATTCCGGCTGTGACTTTGTGTTCATGACGCACTCCATTGGTTTGCAATAGTACAGAAAATCTCCTTGAAATTCTCAATTCTAAGATAAGTGAGTGTTCGGGGCTTCTTTTTATCTTCAAAAATGTGTTCGATAATGAAACCTACAATTGCACAAAAGTAGTGATGTTCAAATGATAGATTTAATTATGACTCATATGCTTGAGAAAAATGAGGAAAAATGTGAAAATTGAAAAGGCAGATTTCAGTTAGGCTGGAAGGATGTCGTGAAATGAGATCAACTATGGGTGTCGCGGTTCTGCATCGTATATTTACGTTTTTGCCTGCGGTTTAAGCAAATCGATGGCATGGGTGAAGTCGGCTCAGAATGCGGCGTTGCATATCTCTGTCGTGGTTACATTTTTTTAAGGAGAAACTAACCAACAGTTTTTAAAGAAAATGTCTGTTACTTTTCTACGCTCAACCTGAATAAAAATCACGTCAAATTGCAAGGAAGCGTCCGAATCAGTTTTTCTTGAGGAAATAAATCATGGTTGGAGATTTTTAAACGTTTCAATTGAGATACGCACCAGTGGCGTGGCGTGGATTGCGATTCATCTGCGATTAATCTGCCATTTAAACCTATGAAAAAGGATCGAAAGACAGGGTGTTCGCAGCGTATACCTCGATAATCGATTCTTTACCATAGGTTTAAATGGCAGAACAATCGATACATCGCAATTCACGCCACGCCACTGATACGCACGGCTCTCATTTAGCCATCGATATTTAAGAAAACCTACGCGAAGCATTTTGCAGGAAATTCAATGGTGTTTTTCTTGACTTGTGAAGCTTTCAACACACGCGGTTTCAATCGGGATACAGCCTCCAGAGTTAGATATTTCTCTTTGCAAATAACGATGACTAGATATTTTTGAGCGATTCTTGCCAACGTTATCGGCTATTTAATATCTGCCGGTCGTAAAGCGTGACAATATTACAATTATGACAACCTTTGCCTGTCCCTGTGGTTTTTTCCATAAAATTTTCATATACTTCTAAAATTAACTGTAAAATTATTATTTTACTTGCAGATTTCTTTCACGGATGTATAAAGTAATCCTCGGAAGAAACAATATCGAAAAAAGACATTGAAGGGTGAATAATTGACCTTCATCAAACGAACATGAACAGATTTTTCAGGTATATTTGTGAAGCTCTAATTATAATATCGAATGCTTGGTGGAAAAGGAGTATTTGGCTGGGGCTACTCGTCAATTTTTAATTCTCTCGTCCATCTCACCTCAGGTAAGGGATGAAAAATGCCTCCAGGCGAATCAAATTCCCGAGCAACAGCTTGTGGAATCTCAATGGATTTTCGCTTCATCTTTTACTCTATCCATCGTTTCATACACATGTGACAAATTGCTGACCGCTCGGATTGTGGCATAATGTAATGCTATTGACCCAAATTATTTCAAAATCAATGAATAAATAACTTTTATGTGTCAAAAGTTGATTTTTTTGTTGATATCATGTTATCAGTTTTAAAATAACAAATCGACGGTGAAACTACCAGACCACGTATCTCGTTTGTAGCGTTCAAAAGTCTCTGCTCCCATTTTATGTTTTTGATAGAGAACAAAATGATTTCATTCCTTGAAGTTTCCACAGAGTATTCTTCACAAGAGTAAGAAGAAAAATGGAAGTTTTCAAAAATTGACGCTGAGTGGTTTCCCATATAAAAAATAAAGTATGACAGGAAGTCTACGACGTCGCAAACCGAGAAACGTGGTCTGGTAATTTCACCGTCGAAATACATTACCTTCCACATTACGCCTATGTAGTAGACCAGTATCTACTGTTGAGTGACGTACCTGCATGGTCACAATCCGAGACTGCTGATATTGCGATTTAAAAAGTGGACAATGCCACACTTTTTTTCTGACTTATTTTATTTAGTCATTTATTTTATTTATTTTCAACGGGCAAACCCAATTACAAAAAGCACAACAATGCAAAGGTAGTCAGAAGACAGTGAGATGAAGACCAGTAGAATAAAAACAACATAAATTGAAGTACAACTTGCATTCATACTTATATTATTTTTGGATTCTCGGTTTTACGTTTCAAACCATACAAAAAATCTGGCAATTTGAAAGTCAAAAGCAAATATGCTCATTCTCGTTTATACTAATACTAAAAGCGATACATTTACTTAGAGACACACCGTATTCATCAATACCAACCATACACCAAAATAAGACGACGTATCACGAGTGACGTAGGTCTTGAATGTGTTTTTTTCTTTCTTTATGTTTCACAATCAGTACTTAACTAATCGAGTATGAGCTTACGAGATTCGTCACCGAAGTCATGTCACAACTGAAGTCAATACTATGGATACACGACATGCGCGTACCTGAATAAATGAATAAAATCGCAATAAAAGAGGAAACGTCCGCAAAACAAAAATACCTAATCGGAAAACTAAGGCAGGTTGATTGCTCTGTATATTGCTTCAAAACGAAGCAATTAAGATAACCCGTCATTACAAATATTTTACAGCAACTTTGTACTGTAAGATTTCTTTGCGGTAGGCAGAATGGAACCAAGCCACATCAGCTATATCCATTACTTAATCGGGAAATTTAATGCTTTACATGAAATCGGTTATGCGGATTTTTGTGCGAACAGTGAATTTTCTGCACAGTGCGAAGCAAATTCCTTAAAGTTTTCAAAGGAATCAACGTTCTCTTGTATCTCAAAAATTTAATTGTCGATTTAAAATATACCGTGCATGTATATACCTCTTTTTAAATGAAAAAATTATATTTTTAAAACGTGGCAAATATTTTTAAAACCTTTTCCAATTGATGGCATCAATATTAATCTCAATGAGCCGTACTTGTGTTGAAAGGAACTATACAAAAACGAAGAAGAGAGAGAAAAAACCAAGGAGGACGCCATCTTTGGTTTTAACCCACTTTTACATCGATCTTTTACAGTCGAAACGTCCAATTTTAAGTGTTTGGTTCCGAATACACCACGCTGCAGCACAGTAAAAGCAAAAAATATAAAAGGAAAATTAAAAACCTTGGAAATCATTAAATTAGACACGGAACTACCTTAATTTTTTCAAAACAAACGTTATATTTTCCTTTAATACATATTTTTTTTTCATCAATTTAAATAAGAATAATCCGTGCAGAGCGTGCAAACATTTCAAAATCATGAGTTGAAAATGCTGACTCCGCAAGTTTAAATATTAGAGCCTATATAACACAGAGCAAAATGCGCACTGGCGCCTACAAACCTAACGGGATACTTCACGTGTTGCGCAATGCGTGAAGTATCCCTGTTAGGTTTGTAGGCGCCTATGCGCGTGTCACGCTGGTCGCTCGCCGTGCCGCGGAGTGCTACGGCGTTTCAAGCTACTATTTCGCTACATAGGTGTTGCACAGTATCATACGAGATTGAAGGCGCTCCAACGTATCAAGTATGACAAGCTTCCTTTAAGAGTACAGAGCTTTCCTTGCAAAATAAATCAAGATACTACGTTACAAAAAGAGAGCGGTAATATTGAAAACTCACTTAGCCCTAGCATCCGTATTTAATGACGTTTAGTATAATTTTTGAATATTTCATTAGAGAAAAATGGGACTCAATTTAGGCAGAAACATTCTTGAGTATGCCGTCAAGAAGATTTTATTTTGAATCAAGAATAAAGTAGCTGAATGAAAGTGGGTTTCTGCTTCATCTAAGTGACTTTTCTTTTTATTTAAGCATCCTTTTTTTCTCTAAACAGGCATTATTTTCTTTATTGATTCATAAGGAAATCTTCTTGGCGGTAAATTTGAGCATATTTCTGCTTGAATCAAGCCACTTTTTTCTCTAATTAAGTTCAAAAATCATGCTAAACGTTACTGGATTCAGATACTAGGACTTAGCAAGTTTTTCGACTACAGCTCTCTTTTTTTCGTCGTCACTTGATTTAATTTGCGAGGGAACTTCGTGCTTTTGAAAGATGCCATCAATCATGATACGTTGGGGTGCCTTCAATCTTGTATGATACTGTGCAAAACCTCCATGGCGAAATAGTAGTTTGAGGTGCCACGGCACGCCGGCGCTGTCGCGAAGTTATCGTGCACAGGAAAAATGTGAGAGCCTTCAGCTGAGGAAAGTCAAAAGGTTCATCCGGTTCAGGTATTATAAGATGGGATTTTCTTGAAAGATAATTAAGTCCTGTTGCACCAAAGGGGTGTAAAGAGTTTTAGTGAATTTTCCCTCATGGGATTGACGCCAAAATTGTCAATTATATATTTGTTTCCGTTTGGCCAACCAAACAAACAAAAAACGGGCAAACCCTCATTCTTCCAAGACACCATACATTTCATCCAAAAACTTCGTGAACAAATATTTTTTGTATTTACATGTTGACCAATTAACTTTGGGTCTCAATAATTGGTAAGTGGACCAAAACTCCCCTGCCGAAAAAACGCGTGGACTTAAACTACCAAAAAAAACAAGTGCTTGGACAAAAAATCGTTGACAAAATGTCCTATAACCCAATAATCATTCTAAAAAGTAATTGGGAAGATGCCGGTAAGATTTTGACAGCTTTCAGTTTTCTATGACTTAAAATTTTCAGAATAGAAAATTACGAGTACAAGCTGCACCTTTGAAAACCATTGACGATATGGCTGGTGAACCTGAAATTATTACTTGGAGCTGTTGGCTTCGAACAGTAAGTATCCCTTGCTTTTTTTTTACAAAAGGAATTGATCTTCACGATGTCATCAGATTTTACCAAAAACGCAGAGCAGTCAGATTCATCATACTGAACATACTGGGAGGAAAAGGGGAGGATAATGATTGCTATATTAACTAAAACAAGAGTTCCTTGAAATGGTGCCACTTGAATTGAATCCTTAATGTAACTGTGTCTTTATTAAATCCCTAAAATTTCCGTAAGACAAACCGGGCGTGTCTTAGTAGAAATTGTTCTACATATAAAATGTTAGCGGAAGTACTTACGTGAAGACTGAAACTATAGACAACATTATTTCAAATTTCCGTTGCAATTATTGTATTCGTCGATTGTATCTAAATGTATTATTGCATGCAGTACTTTTAAGACGACAAGAACAATTGTTTGTTGTTTTAGGAGAAATTTATCACAATTTCCTCTAAATATGGTTTCTTTCGCTGTTAGGTTGTCGCCGGAATCACAGCGTTGTTTCTTTTAGCTTTTGCGGGTATGAACAACGGAGCGTCAAATCTTCTGTTATCTCAGCTGACAAAAAAGGACTCCTTGATCCCTATCTCTCAAGACCAAGAATCTTGGGTAGGTATGTTGAACATTTCTCTCAGATAACGATGGTATATGATATATTTTTTGTAGAAAGTGATATCAACGAGCAATACGAGCATATTGATTTGATGTAAGTTCTGCAGAGTACAGAAGATATGGAATTTAAACACTACCACCCGTTCTATATTTTTACACCTCTTGGCATCATTGCGGGTAAACATCATTTCAATACAAGTATCAATATTGTGTGGAATAAAAGGTGTAGTATGCAAATATTTCTGTGATTTTTGTTGTTGTTGAAAATTGTATTAATTAATTCCAGAGGGGTACTTTTAAAGCATTTCGTGAAAGGCATAGGATATAATTTCTCTGTTTTAGCCTACTTGATGCGTGTCTCAACCCTCCCTCCAGCTGTAACACCCCTTGTATTGTAAAATAAGTTTCAAGTTTTTTTTTTTTTTTTTTTTTTTGGGGGGGGGGAGGGTATCAACATGAGCTTGCTGATACTGTTTGTCTTCTGATCCTGAATGGAGACCACGCAGAAGGTGTGAAAGAGTAGCAAAACTAATAAAAATGAATAAATTAATAGGGATTATTTTACGAGGCACCCCCTTCGCAAACTCCGACGAGTCTGGCAGGATCCTCTGAGGTAAAGTTATGCCGGACTAGTTCTAAATTTAGACGAAGGGTTCGCTATTGACCGACCAGTTAACACTAATCCACTTGCGAGAATTAACACTCCGGTACCGTCTTCTGACACTACATCCGAGTTAAAGGGTCTTTTACTATTTCTATTCTATCAAAATATTTATTCTTATTCATTATTATTTCTTTGATATATTTTTGTCCGACTGTCTAGTTTTCTTTGCTTCACAGAGAAAACAACTTAATGCCGAGCCCTAACTGTTTAGATCAAATGGATCCAGCTAATATGACAGTAGTCCTTTGAGCCCTACAACTTCAGGGTTCAGCCCCACAGACTGAAGGTCTCAGCACTACTGCCACAGTAGCTGCTACAGCCTCAGCACTACTGCCTGTACTGTTTTGGCGCTATTTTGCCTAAAGTGATAGGCAACAGCTCTAACAATTAGTTGTTTTTATTAATTCGTTTAGTATCCCTCACCAAAGTAGATGATGTTAATTATTGGGTATCTTGAAAAATAATAATGAAAAAGGTGATAAAACCCCCAATATTGGTAGGCTGAGCGTCGTCTTAAAACATTTCTATGATACTTGCTTTCTATCATTAAATTTTGGCTGTAATCACTTGTGCATCGGGGCATGCTTTTGCTTTCCTCTTACTTTCCTTTTACTTACATGAAAATATCTTATTCAATGTTACAGCGAGCCTTGGACTTTTGGCTGCGCCAATTGCTCCAATTCTGATTGGTCCATTTATTGACTTTTTTGGGCGTAAAAAAGGAGTCCTGGTTTTTTATCTCATCATGGGTATCGGGTGGGCAGTCATTGGCAGCGCTAAAAATGTGACCCAACTCTACATAGGTCGCATGATTTGCTCTTTCGGTGAAGGCTAGTAAGAAAATGTTATTTTCGATATTAATGGACGGGAATGTGCAAACAAAAGGAGAGTCTCCTTTTGTTTGCACCTTTTGTTTGAACCAAAAACGTTTGATTCCTTTCGGGGACTCATCACTCAACAGTCTCTTCTACCACAGACATACGCTTGCAAAGAAGCCCTAAAGTGATGGCTCTTTAACCAAGTATTGACATCAATGACCTCCAAAAGTGAGTGGTCTGTTCTACTTTGAAGGAGCACGCGGGAAATTTCCCACTTAAATACATTTCACCGACTGAAATGCTCTAAATGGACCGAGTTCATCAGAAAGGAACCAACCCACATTATGTTGAAACTGAGAAAAAGAGGTTTGAAGTTGAATTCCTACATAAGGCTCAATGTAGAAAAAGAACTTCAACCCCTCTTTTCACAAATAATTTCTATTTTTCAACTTTCAATTTTTGACAGGAGAAAATATACGGCTAGTGGAACTCGAAAACATTCTGAACTCAATTTTTTTTAAAAAAATGTGGGTTGGTTCCTTTCTGATAAACTCGGTCCAAATATTGTTATACTAAATAAAGGAAACTACAGTATACATTTTATTGATAGAATGGAATGAATAGCGAAATAGGGGGCAATATTGAGCCAATGAGAGGCGAGTTTGCAAAAACATTTCAATAATAAAATAATTTATTGTGAAATCAATTTTTTCCAAAATACCCGCTAAGACTGAAACGAAACGAACGCAATTGAGTATTATTTTGATTTTGGGCGCTTGTTAGGAGAAAACTAAAGATTTTTTGTTCATTTATCTTGGCCCACTTATCCTTCATCTCTTTTCTTCTTCGGCTGTTTTCCATCTTCCTCTTTCTCTTCCTCTCTCTCTCCCCCTCCCTCCTCCCCTCTCTCGCTTTCTCCTCTTCTTATCTTCTTCTTCTTTTTCCTGTTACTATTCCTGTTTGTTTTCCTTTCTTCCAAGTTTCAATGTGTCCTAAAGTGACATATACTTGGAGTCATAAGACCCAAATCTATTATATTAAGGCAAATCAGGCTTGAATAATTTCCCAAGTCTATTATATTAAGGCAAATCATGCTTGAATTTAATTCACTCTCTCAACCTTACAGGTTTTGAGGCATGTGCAGTAGTCTACCTGGCAGAGATCTGCGCAACAGAGCAGCGTAGTATCGTACTTGCCTGGCTGAGAGCACTATTCTCCGCAGGAGTTCTCTTTGTAGACGTCATCAACACCTGCGTGTCATGGCCTGTAGCCTGCCTCGGATTCAGTCTGGCCGCCTTCGCGTTCGCAATAGCCGAGTTGTTTGTACCGGAGTCTCCAGCGTGGCTCTTTCGCCAAGGCGAGGAAGAGGCGGCCGTAAAAAATCTCCAGAGGCTTGGAAGAAGTCAAGCCGGGGTTCATCTGGAGATCGAGACTCTCAGGCAACGCGAGAGTAGCACCGAATCACTCTCCTGGCGAACCTTTCTGAAGCCGACAGTTTGGAAACCTTTCGTCATTCTTGCTGTTTTTCACGTGTTACAGCTCTCAACCGGCTGCGACGTTATTATTTTTTACCAGGTTTGTAAGACGACTTTTGGAGATGCTCTAGGGAATTCACACTGAAAAAAAAAAAATATCAGTGTATTTTCTAAGAAAAGGGTAACATTACCAAGAATCCAGGGTTCTATTTGATCCCAGTTTTTTCTTGGTAAAATTACCATTTATGGAATTGGTAATTTTACCGAGAAATCTCGTTAAAATATTGAACTTTCTCGGTAATTCTACTGGACCTTGGTAAAAACGCCAATATTTTTATCGACTGTGGTAGAATTACCAAGATAAAATGGCAAAGTTACCGGGAATCGATTACCAATAAAAGTGGTATTCTTACCTGAAAAAACAGTAAAAATATCGGTTTTTAGGTAAGCTTACGTCAGTTTGTCTTGGTAAAAAAAGTGAGATGGTAAAAGTACCAACGGACCTTGGTAAAAACGCCCAGAATTTTTTTTCAGTGCACCAACTGTAAGTGGTGAATTAGCAGACCTAAGACAAAAATAGGCATGGGAAGGGGAAAAGTATACCTCAATTACGGTGTCTCAATTCTCTGCGATCGTTTTCAATTAAAATCAACTGAGCATTATAGTTTTCAAAGTTTCACAGAATTCCATATACAGGATAAATAAAAACTCTGAGCAGCATTTAAGACAGGAGATTTATTTCTTTGAAAAAAGAAATAAACAATGAAAAATAATTGCTTGACCATTTTTATCTCAAAAAGCATTATAACTTGGATGAGTAGCTAGAGAGAGTGCCTTAAAAGCCTTTTCAACGACCTAGTACCCACACGGACTCCGTTTTCCGGCCTTGAAGTTGTGTTACGCTCAAACATTTACTCACAACATCCTGAGAATTTTGCTATTGAGTCGATAGAAATATTCACTTCTAACACATTTGATTAAGTTACAAGTAATAACTCTATCAGAGTAGAGATTTGAAGATCCTATTAGAAGAATGCAATGTTCCTTTGTGCGTTGATTGAAATGTTCTATTTCTATAGTAGGTCTACGTTACAATTTATTATTCCTATATATTGAACCTTTTTCAATATTTCATCACAGGTGGATTTCCTAGCGAGTCTAGGCACGACCTACGACCCTGTGTCAGTCTCTGTGGCCTTATCAACAGTCAGATTCCTCTCAAACATAACTGTCGGCGTCTACACCAATTCGATTTCCCGGAAAATATCAACTGCAATTTCCGGTTTCTGCATGGCGGTGCCCCTCGCCGGAGCGGTAATATACGAGTACCATTACCGGTCCGTACCGGTGCTCGACAGGCCCGTCCAATGGCTGCTTCTCACTTTCATCTTCGCTTACCTAGTAGCGGCCGAACTCGCTGTTAACTGTCTGCCCGGGACTATGGTAGGAGAGTTGTTCCCACTCAGCGTCAGGGGTACCATGAGTGGGGCAACACATTTTGCTGCGCATTGCTCTTATTTTGCGTACGTTAAGTTTTACTTTGCGTGCCTGAGGGTTTTGAAGATTCACGGGATTTTATTCGTGTTTGCAGCGAGTTCTTTTCTTGCTGGTCTTTTTGGGATTTATATATTGCCGGAGACACACGGCAAAAGCCTGGTGGAAGTGGAACAAGGTTTCGAGGGGAAAACTCAGGAAATTGACCAAAATATTGTGGTACCACTATCCTCTATTAATAGCTAAATAAGTTCACTGTATTTTGATATGAGGTGTGAATATTCCTAACTTAAATATAAGAGCACATATCTGCATAACAAAACTAATGACACTTATGTTGTATCTGAAGGGCGCCGAAATTCCACGGAAAAAAGAGGTAGAGGTTAAGTCCCAACTTGGCATTTCGAGTTAATTGTGGTAGTACCCCAATTACTTGTGGTAGAGGTGTCGTCAGATAAGTTGACATTTGATTACTTTCAATTTGCAGGCGCAGACAAAGAATTTACGCCTATGCACAAAGCGGCGTTCGCTACTATCCACCTTGAAAACATCCGTCTCATGCTCGCATCGTAAAAGAAGTACTTATCAGTTATGATCCGCGACTTTTATGTGGTTGTGATTTATTTGTGGCTAAAAATTGAAGTGTTACTAGATTTGAAGGTATAAAAAAACCTATCCAAACTTATGTTCTCGCTTCTACAAGAATCTGATGTTTTCATGTGGATAGTAGTGATGCGAAAACGCCCGCAAACCGAAAGTAAACAAATGCCAACTTATCCGACGACACCTCTAGTACCCTAATAAATTAGGTTAATGATCCAAGTGTTGCGGCACCACCCCAATTTGAGTTGCGTTACAACCAAAATAAATTGTGAATATCCATATCATCCATGGGCGTCGCCCGATTCCCTCTTTCCCAGATCCGATTCCCTCCCAATAAATTATGTTTAAAATAAAAACGGCAACGTCGCACAATATATAGGTGGACCCCACCAGCGACACTATCGCTGATAACTTGCACGCAAGATGATGGACCTTTGGCCTCAAAAAAAACGAATGCCTGCGATAGTTTTCACGCTCGTTACTATTCTTATTTTTAAATTTGTCATCCTAATACCCGCGCATTCATCGAGATTATACAAAAAATCATCCGCGACTCACTCATAACGCTGAGTTCCGCCAATCACACCGAGGCAAAAATCCGACCTAACACCGTTGGGGCCGGATTTTCCTACTTGCCGCACATGAGCCGCCTGTATTTTGCCGCCCTCTTCTCGTTCCTTTTGAAACATCAATAAAAACCATCAAGTGAACGTACCAGCGGGGGAGGGGAGCACAAAACGCGTTTACTCGGGTTGAACACATTTTTTGGAAAAGCCCTGTCAACACTATCAGCAAAAGGTCACGGAACTTTGCGCGAAAGTCAAGTTTCGCAAACCTATCTCTAATGCACAAGGCCTTCCATTCATAAGAAATGAACGAAAAAATTATGAAAGAAAAAACACAAAATTTGGTTTAATGATTTTAACTTCCGCCGCCGCGCCGACCGCACTGTGTTTGGCGCAATGCGTGAAGTATTCACGCAGTCTTGTAGGCACTATGCGTTTCACGCTAACCGCAGTGTGTTTGATGCAATGCGTGAAGTATTCGTGCGGTCTTGTAGGCGCTAATATGTGTTACATGCCGTTTTCCGCGCAAAGGGCTTTTCCTTTCCATTTCAAGTCTTCGTCATCATTTCTCCCTAAGTCGCGCCGTTCCAGGCCAAATGGGCCTGTTGCATGCAAGAGATACAGCCGCGCGAATAGACTTTTTAGAGGTTAAATGACACGAAAATTACGATGGTCACATTAAAAAAGTCTGAAATACACTCCTTACTGCGCAATTTGCGTTGTTAGGAACGTGCTTTTTCAAATTTCCCGCGTCTGGGGGCAGTTTTCTAATCATCGGAAACGAGCAAACGGCGGGCTTCGGTGATTTCCGGAAGATGCCGAGTCGTTGTTGTTGTTGTTGTTGTTGTTATTTTTTCCTTCAGTTTGTTTCCAACCCAACGTGATCTCTCATAGTGGTCCATATACGCGTTATGCGGTAACTAAATCGATCAACTTTTAAATATCCAACGCAATCCTTTACATTTCATTTCACGATATCACGAGCTCCGATTTTTCGGTTATGTTGTCAGTTTTAGTTGACCGGAAATAGCCTTGAGTTACCGTTAATTTTTTCCGTTAGAAAACTGCCCCCAGACGCGGGAAATTTGAAAAAGCGCGTTCCAAACAATGCAAATTGCGCAGTAAGGAGTGTATTTCAGACTTTTTTAATGTGACCATCGTAATTTTCGTGTCATTAGACCTCTAAAAAGTCTATTCGCACGGCTGTATCTCTTGCATGCAACAGGCCCATTGTGTGTTTGGTTTCTCTCTTAACTCGACTAATTAGAGGTGCTGTCTCTTGTATCACTGAAAGACGACAAAATTAGAAATTACTATACTCTTAGGAAATGAAAGATTTTGTAGTCTTTTCTCGTGTGTGATTTTTTTTTCTAAATCCGTTTTTTTTATACTGACATTTAAAAAAATTGCAAAATTTGCCGCCCCCTAGATTTGTTTGACATGGGCCGCGGCCCACGTGGCCACCCCCTTAATCCGGCCCTGACCACCGTTAAGAAAATTAAATTTTTAGAAGCAGCCATTGCCACGCTTTCTGGAGATCCTGACGATGAACCTTTTTTTCAATTCATTCGAAACGCGTCTTTTAGGAACTCGCCAAATATTTTATTGTAAGACTTCGATAGTTTTGCGACGCGGCGGGAGATTTCGATTATTTGAAATCCCATTCAGTTTTTTTACGTCAATGACGAATAGTGTCTCAAAAAATGAATATTTCTGACGAGCCGGACACCTGCCGAATCCAGATTTTATGAAAGAAAAATCTGATTATCCAGTCTCTGCTGCGCAATTTATTACCTTGGTGAGTTTACATTTTTTTTATGTTCTTTCTGTTTTCATTGCTGCGACGTTGCCGTTTTTAATTTACACATAATTTATTGGGAGGGAATCTTAGGAGGGAATCGGATCCGGGAGGGAGCTTTGGAAGGAAATCGGGCGACGCCCATCATCCATATCATGTATGTATGTACCACAATTTTAGGGGATAACCCATAACATTTTTTCCGTGAAGGTACCTCATTGTAAGATGCGGTCCGAGTATGTCGCGAGTTAGCCTGTAGGGTTTCCCAGTAAAATCCACTGAATGAGTGCACTGAGGAGATACGTTGATTTTGGATTCTAAAAAAATGAAAAATAATAATTTAGGTACTCTTTGATGACCCTCATATTTAGTAAGACATTAACCCTAAAATGAAAAAAATGATTCATGAAAAATTGAAATAAAAGTTCATCGATGATATCATGAAAGAAAATTGGTGACATATGAGACAAATTCACTTTTTTTTTGGAGCTATTGCCACACCATCGAAATGAAATAATTCGGTTTTGCTCTTACTCCTGTGTGTAGGCATACGTTTTCCATTCTTGAGCTGCAATCAAATCACCCCTATCAGTTAAGGATGGAAGCATGCTAAATTATTTTTAAAAAAAAAAACCATTACACCGAATGCAACTTAGAGTTTTTTTTTTATTTGTATACAAAATAAAGAGAGTAAGGGAAATTCGGACAGATCATTAACAATTGACAAAGTAACAAATCTAAGGCACTTGAGGAATGCACAAAATACATTATTGCCCATAACGAACTTCAATCAAAAAAGCGAGAGCTATTGGACGATTGCAGTGATATCGTCACAAGAAAATTTTTAACTAGCCGAGATAAATACGTTTGCTCCTTCCAACAAGGTTGGACATTTTTTTTCAAAGGTTAAAATTATATTTATTTCTTATAATAAAAAAAACATAAATTTTGAGGCATTCATCAAATTTGAAAAGTAATAAGTTTCACCAAACATTTTAATGCGTGTTAAAATTCCAGGATCACAAAATGCATATTATAAGGAAGTAACTGCAATGTAGCTTTCGGTAAGTAAACTATTATTTCTTTGGATATGCATTTTCTTTAAAGCTATCTTGTTTTATGAAATTTTGAAGGAAATAGCAATTTTATCTTTAGTGTATTTATTGTAGTTTATTATTTTATTTGCATTGGGTGCTTAGTATTAATTTACATATGTTTAAATCTCCAAGGCCATGTCGAGAATTAGGATACTTATATGTCACCGTTACTTCCTTATAAGTTGATATGTATTTATTCATGCATCGTTCATGAATTTTTTCAATAAACTGAGTCCTAAAAAGATCCTCTCAGAGAGAATATTGCTGATCTGTGACGGGCCCTTAAACTGGAATGCTAATGGAAATATTTTACAACAAAGATACCAATGAAATTAAAATAGGGGTAAAGATTGTCTGATTTTTTACAGCAGTAATAATTTACAAGTAAATGAGCTAATGATTTTGAATATTTACAAACATTACCTAAAAATATGAAACTTTACCACAAAAGCCTAGGTATGGAAAGTAAAAAAATAGCAGCTGCTATGTTTGAAAATTTGTGACGTATTAAAAACTAAAGTTAAATTATATTAAGCTCGCGCCAGGAGAAACTTTGTATTTTACTTAAAAATGACCCTGACAATATATTTAAATACTTGATTGTAAAATTAACTGACAATTAAGATAACCGTCGCACCAAACACATTTTGATATTTAGAGCGCTTACAGCTGGAAAATTACAAGTTTCTAAATTACATGCATTCAACGAAGGCATGATTTGATGCATGCATTTATCGAGCATATATCAAGACCACACGATATCCTCATTGGTCATCCCGTAAAGTGCCTGTTGAGCATTATGGTGAATTGAAGTGATAGTTTGAAATGAATATTGCGATGACTAGAGCTTCATGAAACTGTATAATGAACTCTAAATTGAAACGCACTGCGCAGCGATTTATTAACATTGATATTACGATTGCGGAGGGGAATTTTTGAAATTAGTTGCCATTGGACCGGAATGGAGGTCACAATGAGAAAATCAGAAAACTAAAAGTTCAAAAATCAGAAAACTAAAAGTTCAGTTTTTACGGTCTGAACTTCTGTTCTCTGACTCGGGTTTGTAATGGTGCGACGAACTCTGTTCGAGATCCAGTCTATTGGCGTCAATTCTTTCCTGTGGCAATACAGAGATTTCCTGTTTTCCCAATCTGTCCATGCACAAAAAGTTGATGAATCACGAAAATAAATTTCAAGTGCAATTTTTACAGCTAGTCTTTATTTTATTTTTCATTCACTAGCATGTCCTGGATCTGGAGGAAAAATGAAAATAAGATTACATGCTTCACAAATGCACATCATCAAATTACAATTTTAGAAACTGACGTTTCAAATCAAAGGATTTGTTCAAATTCGAAAACAAATTTGCCTTTGAATGAGCAAAAAAGGTGTGTTGCATTGATTGGGCATATCATAAACCATTTCCATCGAAATTGGCTCAGTTACCAATACTGTCCGATACTAATCCATGATTAGTGTAATCCAATTTATGCTTTGAAACTGCTTGAGCTTTAAGTTTGATAGTTCTAAATTGTATAAGAGGAATGAATGGATGAAATGTAAGGATGAATATATGAAATTTATTAAAGTGACTTACTTCACCTTAATCAGTTTTTTTTCTGTTTAATACATTAAAATTTGTGTTTGAAATTCGATGGAAATGGTTTGGATCACCAAGGGAAGAGCGTTTCACTTTTTGCACAACTTATAGAAATAATCACTACAGTTCAATTCCAAGTTCTTGTCTCGAGCATATAGACAATTCTGTTGTCACTCTTTCCCTTAATGATAATGTGTCATTCTCCTTTCTAAAACTAGTCAACAATTATTACAAAACTCGATAAAATAAAATTAATTTACACAAAATATTAATAACATTACTTCATGAGTTTGCACCCAATAATTTAAGTACAATCCTTCGTAAATGCCACGCTAAATAAATTTTTTAATTAGAAAACAAAATTAAAAGGTCTGCAAATAACATTTAAAAAGAAACTGAAAACACAGTAATTGCACAAAAATAAAAAAAATAAAAATATTGGACGGAATAAGTTCACACCGCTGCAATTAAAGTACAGAATCATAGAGAAGAGAACGGTCCTGCGTTAAAAGATGTCTCTCGTTCTACTTAAAGTCTGTCATGGATACTTTTTGCAATGAATAAATTGTGATGTACATGGGCTACGTAACATTCCCTATTCAAGAAGAATTTGCAAAGATTATAATGACTCAATCGTAAAAAAGTAAATATAATACTACAGTAAGTATATTTTACGATCGCAAATGTGAAAACGGATACTCTACGAAAAGACATAAATTGTATCCTAGTCAGTCAGCAGACAAGACCGGTAAATTAATCTAACACAGAAGTTAAATTTACAGAGGATAGAAAAGACGATATCAAATAAGAATAAGCAATCAAGAAATTGGTAACATAATTTACATACTTTATTTTTCCACACACATCAGAAGTATCGAAGAAATAAAATAATTATAAACATTTATGGCAAACAAGTTTGTCTTTAATAAGTTGTCTTCATCTTTTCGCGTGAGGAAAATAAAGCGACGAATTAATTTGAGATATTTTGATTTTATCTGCACATTCGGCCCTGATTCAATTGGGCTGATGAAGCGGTTGTGAATCTTCTGTGGGGAGTCCAGTTCAAAGAACTAAAACAATACTGCTACTAAAATACTAAAAAATTACAAATTCATGACACAGGTTATTCGAAAAAATTACTTTTCCTAAGATAATCTCATTCAGGTACAGAACGGTCTAAATATTCCGCCGTGGACTTCTTTGTGATTCAGGACAAATGAAAGGCTGTTCTTCCTACGCATCGTTCAGTTCAGAATCAGTGCTCTTAGATTAGGGTTTAGTCAAACCAATACTGTTAAAAAATAACCTGGAAACAGAAATATTCTCTTTCAGATTGAGTGCACTGCATTACTGTTTTGCAAAAACAGTTTATACGGCGGCTCCCCAACATTACGATTTTTATTTTTTTTTTCACTCAAAATTGAATGGAAAATTGCAATTTGGCGACCAAGCATTTTGCAAGATTTAGATGAAACTAAAAACAATTTATGAAAAACCGCATTTTTGTAAAATTTTGACTACACCATTAAGTGTGCTTTGTAAATAAATTGCGGAAATTGATTACTAGGAACCATGGTGAAGAAGAAAATCCCCCGTTATTTTTTAGGTCACTTGGTTAGAGAACTTCAACCGGGTAAAATTCTAACAGCACTGATTCCGAACAGTTGTCCATACCGAAAGAGATTGAGACAAATTCAAAGGAAACTCGACTCCATTCGCGAGTATTCTCTCTAAATTTTAAAATCGCCAAAGTCAGTCATATTTACAAATGCTAACAGAAAATTATAAAAAAGAAGATCTTTATTTAAAAGTGGCACTCATTGAAAGTTTCAACATTAGAAAGATATCAGTGGTGGGTTTTTTTTTTGCAGAAACTTCTGCAAAACTTTTTTGGACTTCTACTGGAAAACTACATTGAGCATCCAGCCTGAATTCCTTATGTTGATCTTCAATCGAATAAAAAGTTAGAGGTAATTTATGTAGTCTGATATAAAATACAGCCTTGATCTTTTTTGAACCCACCACTGGATGTGCCACATACTAAGCATCGTGCAGTCCAGATGAAACGTAAAAAAAAAAACTAAATACAACGATGATATGAATTGATTCCTGCGATATGTGTTTCGAATTCTGAGATTCAGGACACCTGACGTAGTCCGAAGAGTTGGATTTGGTCCGAGACACTATTCACCGAATTCCGAACTCATATCGATGGCCTCTGCGACACAAACGAACCCTTAGTATCGGAAAACGGAGACTTGGAATGCACTCTTAAACGCTTCTACCAACTAATACTGTCAAAATTTCCTGACATTTTTTGCATGAAACATAAATAAAAATGTTTTACATTTGATGCGGGATTAATTCCCTTGCAACTTCAAATTGCGGTCAGAGATTTTGAAAAAGTATGGCACAACTAGAGCTGCTTTTTCGTAGACCGCGTTGTGAGGTTAGGGTTTAGATGTGTCAGAGGTGATTTTATCAAGCACTTAAAATTTTTGGACGATCAGATGTTTTTCTGATTCTTCCGCAAATGGCTTCAATTACAGACATAGAATGGTCAGATACGTAAGGAATTATTTTTTAAAAAAAGAAAGTTACATTTTAACTGAGAAAGCGTTTCTAATTTGCTTCGCTATCCAAAATTAAACCAGTGAAGTCCGTAATCGATTCCAGCGTTGTAAATTTTGACAAAATTTGAAGGCAGAATTTTAAACATTCCATAATGTTTGAACCCGTATCATCGGTTTTACAGTAACGTCATAAGATTGGCGGATGGTTTTTTCAAATGAAGTGATTTTTGCCAAAAAAATTACATTCTGATCTCTTCGACAGAAAACCCGACCTAATCCTAATGTATTAAATCGATTTGAGCGCATTGAGATTTAAAAGGTACAAAGAAACTTTAAAAAAATTGATAACATTTTTTGTTTCTCGGCAAACACAAGAAAGAGATTATAAAATCAACCAATTGCAAGTGAATTGAATTTTTAAAATTGCCAATGTGATAAAACATGTTGATTTTCGTTGCTTTATTGGCGCGCCCAAAAAGTAAAATTTTCAGGTTAGTCCGTAGCGCGTTTTCTATTGTTTACAGCTCCACAAAATCACGGGTCTAACCCTAGTTGTCAAGGAATGCAAATTATAAGTCATGAGAAATTCAACAAAATTGAGTAAGTAAAATTAATATCAACATCACCGTTATCAACAACATTGCAAGTTTTCATGTGATTTTGTTCGATTTTTATTTTTAGACACAAAAAGATGCAATATCATCAACCATCGAGTAATATTGACATTATTACGAGAAAAATGTCCATTTGCATCAAACAGATTTCCAGTTTGAGAAACGTGTGAAAGTGAGCAAGTCCAGAACAACCGACATTCTTAGAGTTTAACAGAATTTCGGTTGTCTTAGATTTACCCGCCGATGGATTTTCCCTACTACAAAATAGGTCAGTATTACTGGTGTCACAGATTCGTGGTTTGACGGTTGCAGATTACTATTCTTGTAATTAGCACAAAAACTTTGCGTTTGAAGAGATCTTAGTATTTTTAACTACTCTATGATCTGCAGCCAACAAACCCCGATTCTGTGACAGGCGCAACTGCAGGACATGACACTGAGAGGAACCATTTGTTTAGACTCATTTACAGAATCACTTAGGTACCTGTATGGGTTATTCACCGATGAAAGATACATTGTTTTCGAAATGAGCTAGGAAATTTGGTCCAGAGAAACCAACAATCAAAGTATTTAAAAAAATTACTCATCTGCAAGGTCAAATCAATGACAGATTTGTTGTTTTTTTAAATGTGTCCAAAAAATTGGTCAAAATAAACTAAATTTCCGGGCTTTTCACAAAAACACTTATTTGCACAGAAAAATAAATAGCATTTGAGTTGTTTTTGAAAAATTTTAAAAAAAAAATGGTGAAAAAGCCAACCATCATTTTTCTTTTTCACAAAATTACGTATCTCCATAAGCAAAATCAATGACAGATATTGTTGATTTTGAAATGAGTAAAAGAAATTTGGTTCCTTCGAACGTTATGCCGTCGAACTGACCTAATGATCCTATTGATCCAAATGGACTTTTATCTCGATGCCCATGCTAAAGTTCCCATGACTCAATTTGCGCTTCCCGGTATGAGAGACTCGAAAGCTGTTTGAGCCTTAAGATTATGTGGCGTTGTCGTCCATGAAGGCGGGGTTGACCCCGGAGGGCGACTTCCCGTTTCCGTTGGCGGAGGCGGCTGCGGCGGCGGCCTTCATCCGCCGGCTCTTCTCGTTGGCGGCGTAGTGGGCCGTGCCCTCCAGGCTGAGGGTCTCCTGTCGGCCGGAGTTGTGGATGAGACAGCCGACGGCCAGGACTAGGAGGACGGCACCGGCCAGGAACAGGGTCCAGGTGAGGGCGGCCTTCGCCACCGGAGGCGCTGAAGTCGCCAGTCGGAGCAGGTCGGTTACCTCGTTCGGCAGACCTTCGATTCCCTGGAAAGTTGGAGGAGAATTGTTAGGAAAGCTTCGAACGAATTTGTGCTCCATGGGGAAAGAGCTGGGGATTGGAAATCTATGGAGGCTGTGAGAAGAAAAATTTCGGTTGGGGTGTGTTTATTAATTACGTGACGCACTTTTTCGCACCCCCTCCCCTTGATAACACTGGAAAAAAAACACATTGGATCTAGAGTCCAGACTTTTGAAAACATTGACAAGGAAAAGGACTCTTGATTCAATCAGATTTAAGCTTAAGTCAAAAAGAAATCCGCTCAAATTAAGAGCTTGGTTCTTGATTTAAGCTTACATCTGATTGAGTCGAGATTATTTTTTCTTGTCGATGTTTTCAAGAGTCTGGACTCTAGATACAATGTGTTTTTTTCCAGTGTACGTAATGCTTGACGGGCCCTCTCCCCCTTAGGATCTGAAAAAAATCATGTGAAACTCAGCTACTGAGTAGTTAAATGGATATTATTTGAAAATGCTTTGATCATAATATTGAGGAAAGGATTGTGAACCTTTTTTTTCTGTGAGTAAAGAGATAGATTAGAGTAATAAGAAGAATGGTAAAATATTCTCGAAACATCAGTATTCTGAGGAGAAGTTGACCCCAAAAGTTCAAAACATAGAACTGAAGTTACAAAAGTAAACTCTTAAAAGCTTAAGTAGAAAACTGAGGGAGGAGATAGCAGTTTTACATTGAATCTCGATGTACTTCAGTTTTGTATTTCAGTGTGTGTATTTTTCAAGAAAAGGAACTTAAGGGTGTATTATCAGGTTGTACGTACCTCTTCGAACCACATGATGGGGAATACAATGTCAGGGAAGGTTGCTACTTGTTTGATGTCAATTACTTGGCTAACGGCAAGATTAATTTGGATTCTGGCTCTAGCTCGCAGAGTAACTCCCATTTCCTGAAAACAAAATAACAGTATAAGTATGAAGTCATCATTCGCTGCAAAAGGGAGAAACTAAAACAAGCCGAAGGCAGATCAAAAGCGTTGGTGAACCGTCAAAAGTTGAAAGTTTGTACTACCACACGCAATGGAAACATTTCTGCACTCACAATAAAAATGGACTCTCCTCCGGATAAAAGGGTTCAAAAGGAGTCTTAAAGTTTATTCATCATTGCAGACATTTTAAAGTCTCAATCAATTTGATATTTTATCGCAAAGAAAATTATGAGTTACAGTAGACTTTACATAGCTAAGGAACTTCCTCTGACGAATATAGGTCAAGCATCGTCGTGCGTGTTTTCTTGTCAAAATGTCAAGTGTCAGTTTGAATTTCTTATGAGTTAATTTGGGGCAGTCTCAATATTCGTAATGTGCAGCGTTGAAGTTTGATGAAAAATTATGTCGAAAGGTACTTAAAACTTACTTTTCCTGGTGGTTCATCGGTTGGATTTTTGAGAAGTAATCTCATTATTTTAATACTTCAATTTTTAGGAACTAATGGGTTAAGATGATAGAGAGATACTTACGGGTTGTACATCAATGTACATCTCGTGTTTCTCTGGGTCAGGGGGGCTGATACCTTCAACAGCCTCTCTGTATTTCTGGTCTCCCAAGTAGAAGTGAGGGAAAGATAGGAGGACAGGAGAATCTGCAACAGAAAAGCAAGAATGCTTCTTTCAATAAAACATCGAGGAAGAATAGAAGCTGTATGATGTATATTGCATTCAAGCAAAAACGCCTTCAAATTGGCAAGATGCAACTTTTTCAGCACCGGAGCAAGTTTCAGTAAAAGACGCTCCGCAGACAGAAAACACATAAGAAATCTGGTAAAACTTTGAAAAGTTGCAATAAAATATAGCCTTTCTGGCTCTCACCCCTTCATTTTCGTTATTCCCAAATATTCGTGGTGTTTAATTCCTTAACTGAAGTCACGAGTTGATAAGCGACCTGGGAAAAATTTCATAATGGAATTGATACAATTACTGCCAAAGAATAGATCAAGGGACTTTTGTCCTTGATAATTCAAATTTCATCCTCTATCATGATTAATTTATTTGAGATACATGTAATTTTATGATTTTACCCTCTCTCCCTTATTCGCTAGGAGAAAACGAGGGAGCAAAGATTTTTCTTATAATCCTAGCCTGGAGGAGCTGCATGTTATAATTGACGGAAAGCGGTAGCATGAAAGGTATCAAGAGCAAAACAGCAAATGGTTAATCTAAATGAAGAAAATTTACGACGTAATTTAATCGTATTACATTCGCCACTCTGTAATTACACGCCCCGGGTTTCCAACTTATGGGCATAACTACTTACCCCTGTAAAAATCTGCATAAACCCCGAAGCATCGCGTCCAGCTACAATCTTCCCGCGCATCAAGAGGGAAATATTTTACAAGCAACATTGTCTCTAAATATTCCTTTCTGTTTTATAGTTTTTTATACGACCATTTATGCATCTCCTGGACGTTAACTGGATGAAATAATCTCCGAGAATTAAATATGAGGTTTTAATGACGCAAGGAGCTGCCCAGTTCTATACTTTTTGTTTGGACGAAAAACGTGAATGAAAATAAATGTATGGCTGGATTTAATTGTCAGTGGCCGAATACTTACCAAACTGGCAAGCACTGACGTTCATCATTCCGCTTGGAGCGCAAGGTGGTCCAGATGGGCAGAAGCAGTCGTTCTCTGGGTTGACGGAGGCATCGGCGAAGACGTCTTTCGGTGGGGTGAAACGGTAACCTTCGACTTGACCGTTGGTGATCACAGTTTGCTTGTAACTGAAATTGGGGGAAAAAGGCGGTTAAATATAGTGGAAACACAACAGCTCTAAGTCAAGGGAAGTTTCTTTAGACTTAGAAGATTGCACTAACTCGCCTTAAATTAATTAGACTTATGTTTATTACTAGATCAATAGATAAAATATGTCTTATTCCTTTTCATTTTCGGTTGATTTCTTTTTTGGTACGCTTAGCTGGTTAACTTTTTACATTTTATCTACGAGGGGCGTTCAATAAGTAAGTATCCCCCCTCTCTAAAATCCATAAGAATGGACCAATTTTAAAAAAACTTGGGCTCAAAATCTTCCTTAGGATATTTTGAGTTCAACGAAACAAACCGCAACAAAATCGGACCATGTGCGGCCGAACGCGAGCCGTTTGAACGCGCCGAGGTGCTCGACGCTCCCGCCGAATCCGCGAGGATTTGAAGTCCGCTACAGGAGAAGAGCTTCTCTGCCAAAGCCTTAGTCGTTCATCACTGACGAAAAATCAAAGAAATTTTTGTAGAATAAGGGGCTTACCTCACTTCTCCACAAAACCAGCTCGATCCAAGCAAGTCTGATACTGAGACTAAGACTAAGAGAACAGCTTTTGGATGCCTCGTGCGTGGAAGTCTTTCAGCTGACCGCGGATGAAAGAGTGGACGGCTTGTTTGACCTCTTCCACTGATTCAAAATTAACTCCTCCAAGTTCAGATTTCAGGAACGGGAATAAATGGTGGTCTGGTTTGCTATTTATTATCGTATCTGAACTCGGAGGAGTTAATTTTGAATCAGTGGAAGAGGTCAAACAAGCCGTCCACTCTTTCATCCGCGGTCAGCTGAAAGACTTCCACGCACGAGGCATCCAAAAGCTGTTCTCTTAGTCTTAGTCTCAGTATCAGACTTGCTTGGATCGAGCTGGTTATGTGGAGAAGTGAGGTAAGCCCCGAATTCTACAAAAATTTCTTTGATTTTTCGTCAGTGATGAACGACTGAGGCTTTGGCAGAGAAGCTCTTCTCCTGTAGCGGACTTCAAATCCTCGCGGATTTGGCGGGAGCGTCGAGCACCTCGGCGCGTTCAAACGGCTCGCGTTCGGCCGCACATGGTCCGATTTTGTTGCGGTTTGTTTCGTTGAACTCAAAATATCCTAAGGAACATTTTGAACCCAAGTTTTTTTAAAATTGGTCCATTTTAATGGATTTTAGAGAGGGGGGATACTTACTTATTGAACGCCCCTCGTACATTGATAAAATTATCTCCATTAATTTGAGTCATCGAATTGGTTTACTTATACTTGCAGGCGAATATGCCGAGAATGAATGAGCGCTGTTATAAAAATATTGAGCTAAACTATGAACGGATAATCTTTATTTTTGGCTGAGATGCGTTTCGAGTAATTTTAGGAGACGAAAAAATAACCGCTGAGCATTAAATTTGAAATGAACTTATCTTGAACCCTCGACTAGATTCTTAAAATTGTTTTCGAACTTGATGAGTACCTGATTCAAAATGCAATCGTACCTGCATGATTATGGGACATTCTTGTTGCACTTTGCAGCATAAAATCAAAGTGTTTCTCGTTGAGCAAAATGATAGTTCTGAATAAGCGTTTTTATCCAATTCCTAGTACTCTTAATCTCTTAGATATTGAGAAAGCAATATTTTTAGATAACTCCGTCAAGCACCGCTGAACGCCAGCTAATCACGCGGAACGTATCGTCACCTCGAAAAATCATTACGGCAACATCAGTTTCATAATCCTACTTTAAACTTGCAATTTTCTTGGTCCTTCTCGTCTTCAAAGATTCCGATGACAACATCAGTCTCATAACTTTATTTCAAATTTTCGTTTTAATTTGTTTTGCGTCTCCTTCCGCAAACACAAGAACACAACACAGGACCTCAAAAAAAATGGGCTTTAAGAATTTTGCATCTGATTCGCGCTGGCCAATCACACAGAATAATCACAGTGTGATCACACCGAACACATTCAGATAGGTGACTCTATATACAGTGGCGTGGCGTGAATTGCGATGTATCGATTGTTCTGCCATTTAAACCTATGGTAAAGAATCAATTATTAAGGTGTTTGCTGCGACCAATCTGTTTATATCGATCCTTTTCCATAGGTTTAAATGGCATACAAATCGATGTATCGCAAAGGACGCCACGCCACTGGTTCTATAAATGAGCCTGAGTCAGTAGTCCCTAAATGAAATTTGTAATCCAAACGTATATACTTTGGGCATTGAAATATCCTCAAATACTTTCTACAATATAATATAGTTTCCACAAACACTGGCAGATATGTCACTATTAAAGCTCCAGGTATGATGCGGATAAAAATAAGGATGAAATTTTCTTAGATTTTTTGAAACAAATATTCGCGGATTCTCCTCAGAATTTTTACTCTAAAAGATGGAATTTTGCAAAGTTCGAAAGTTCATACGACGTTTTTTCTAGATAATACACGGCGAAGAAAAGTCTCGCCTAGGAGTATCATGTACTAACACAAGGGGTAGAAGTCTGCAGATGTCCTTGTCGAAAACGTAAATGGTTGTGTTTTGAGTCATGTGTGGCGGGAAGATGGAGCCGTCACTTCCGTCGATCCTGTTACATTTGTCTGTCTTCCAGTGGCCCAAGTTGCTTTTGCCGTTGAATTTGTCAACCAGCCCGAACCTCGTGATGTCATCTGCTCCAGTGAAGACGGTCATGTTGTCTTTACCAGTTCCGTTTTTCTGCAAACATAAAAGTTCACAAAATTAACCACATGATAGCCTTCAAAATTGGTTGCACACATGTATCACGGTCGTTTCATATTAGTAGACCATGGTCTTTTGAGTGCATTATCTCTTATTTTATGATAGATAATAAGCAAAGCCATCTCACTGGGAAAAAGCTCGGAGTGATATCAATTTCACTGCGGAGTCAATCTCGCTCCCAAAAAACCCAGAATGACATTAGTGTAGAGCGCAACCTACTCTTTTCACCGAGTGAAATTATATTTGGATCGCGTTAAGCAGAAAAGAACCAAAGTCATATTAGGTATTGCCAAATTTAATTGGGCAATTAAATGATTTACATGATAATGGTTTTGCAAATTTTTGTGCAAATTTTGGTGAATTAGTTGAATAGTAAGCAGCAAATTCTTTAAAATGTTCAAAGATATGCGCACGAACTTTCTTTTGTACAAAATTAAATTGCCCAGTTAAATTTGGATATAGCTGATATAAGGGCTTGGTTCCTTTCTGCCAAACGCTTTCCAAATACTCCTCATTCGTACTCATCTTGGAATTTAGGGAGTAATATATGCACCGAAGTAAAATATTTCAGCATTCACTTTCAGATCTGGACATCTTTAGGCTAAAAGAGTTTTACAACATATTGGTTCCTTTTTACCAAATTAACATCTTTACTCTTCATAGTGAATAACTGGAGAGCGTACTACTGGTTAATGAGTGACTGAAATAATACGAGAGAGAGTATCCATTTTAAAGACCTCGATTTGATCTTATGTAGCTTGCATAAGATTCAGCGTCTACGAAGTGCTAAGTTGAATGTTCAGGGTAGGCGTTATTAATTCTTCAAGAACGTAACGCGCGTAACAGTTTGCAGGTTACACCAGAGCGTTACCTCGGCGTTACCTCGCAGTTTTACAGCTCGACAGAGTGACATCTAAGCCTGATTGCATTGGATAAGAGCGCGGGGTAATGAGGCAGTAATCAGCGGAACTTCAGATTTCAATTATAAGTATAAATTGACAGGTTATCCTGCACGCACAATCCTCGCGGCAACGGCCGCAAGAGTGCGCCACCTCATACAATTGAACGTATTTCTGCCAAACGAAACTAGGTGCATTATGACGCGAGCCCTGTTACGCATATATTCTTATGGGTCTCATGGCTCATGTCGTAGTGCACATAGTTCTGTTTGACAAAAATACATCCAATTGTCACTTGATTGGGATGGATGAATGCAAGCTTGCAAATAAGTGGTACAGTCAGGGGTTTAAAAAAAATATGGAAAAAAAAATATGAGAGTAGTTAGATGTGCTGTTTTTAGACAATCTCGAATCATCTGTTACATACTGATAAACACAGAGTAAAGAGTAACTGCGTCCTCTAAAAGGTAGCCTTTTGAGCCAAAACATATTTTACAGGTATGGACATCATAAGAAAAAGCATATATGCATCAAATAACTTTTAACAGACATTCAGGCTCAAGCAATACGTAGTAATGAAAAATGATCGAAGCAAAATTTTGTCGCTTTACATGCAGTTTACAGCTTAAGTAAACGCAGTTTTGAGAAAAATATGTAACGAAATAATTTTCAATGTTTAAGGTCCACAATAATCGATATATCACCTGACAACACACTCTAATCCACCTGTTCCTAAATTTTTAGGAGTCTAGAAAGTGACTTTATTTTTAAAATTAAAAATATCGACTCAGTTTTATGAAAAAAAACGCCCTCCGTAAATTTATTTTACTCTTGAATTTTTTAGTTTTTCCGCAGGCGGGACCAAATAAATGTACATGGACTGGAAGGGGTATGGCATTCTGAGATTATATAAGTGACGTTTTCGAACTTGTCATTACATCCTGTATGCCGAGACAGTCAATGTGCATCCTGTGCGTTGACAGATGCTAATAATTAAACGGCTTGATGGGTGTCAGCGCGTATTTAACGACTGCACGCTTAGTATCTCCGATAAATTTAATGGCCCATTGATAACATTTAATAACCCATTGGAACAGTCTGCTTCAAATTCCATGCTGAGTATGGACCAATATCAGTGCTCCGTACAAGATTTTGTCCAAATAATCGCTTTAATCGTGACTTTTAAATACTAATTTTTATTCCAAATTTGCCCGCATGCACCTTTTTCTGAAGAGGATTTTTACAAGGCACTGCCAAATTTCGAGACAATAGTAAAATTCAACAGAGAAGAAGAGCCAGGTATAGTGATACATTTTGGATGGACATATCCGTAGGTATACCAAGCAAAGTTTACATCCAACCCTAGGAAAAATTATCTTTGATGAAATATAAAAACTTGAAACTGACTGTAAAAGCTAGTTCTTCCGACCAAAAAGTCAACCGTTATGTGCATTGTCTCTCTGCAAAGATAAAAGTGGCTATCTCTCCTAAGTTAAGTGGGCGAATTTATGCTTGAAGCAACTAAATTGCTCCAAAACCCTATGCACGTAGTTCCTTTTAGAATGAATACGTCCATATCTAAGCCAATAAATTTCAACCTAAGCCACCAGCCACGTATAGAATATACATGGAACGTCTTGGAGGTCTAATAAAATCTAGAGTAATTAAAGCCGCATTGGTTTAGATTTTACTATTTATACCCAAAGAAGTTACATTATTTCAACATTTCAAGATCTATCCACATCTCAACGTTAATCGTTGACACGATCATATGAAAAAACTTATCAGCAAGCTACTAGGCAACTGTGAAAGTTCAAAATGTCCGAACGCTTTTGGAAGCTCAGGAATTTTAGTGCCGTCACTGGCTTCTCGGGATTCTTAAATGGTCACTTCTCTGACTTAAGGACGTACCTCAATTTGTACGTGAGCCCTGTCTCATATGTGACTCCATGCTTTCAGGGGCCCATCCGGAAATAGAGATCCACTCTAAGGTCAGAGGAGCGACTAAATCCTCTATAGTCTCATGCTACTCACCTAAATTCCGACGACCGTATAAATTAAGTCAAGTTTATGAAACACTCTGAAAGCGTTTTGTAACTGGTCTCATTTTGATATTCGGTTCGAAGCAATACTCTTGATATGGTTGATTACAGTTTACTGTAGGACTTTTAGGGGTTTTGGATTCATACCTGACTTGGCCACGAATTTAATTTTACTATTTTCTTTCTTTACCACTGAATGTGGAAAAAAGCATGGTCTCCACAAAGAAGAATAATGGCGTATTTCTCCGATTTTCTAATGGCTATATTCTCATTGAATATGCATATGGACCTGGCGTTTAAGCAGACTACGATTGCTTGATTTTATAACTGTTATCATCAAACAAAACTATTCGGTTTTTGACAACTGACCTAAAGTGAACCGAGTTTAACAAAAACGCATCACGTCACATCAAAATTGAATTAAGGAAAGGCAGTTTAAAGTTCCAATTTTCCGGAAGACCCATTGTTAAGGACAAAATTGTACACCTGTTTTGATGTTGGAATTTTTTTTTCCGACTTTGAATTTTTAAAAAACGAAAAATTACGCCTACTTGAATTCAAAACAACTTAATCTAATTTTCTTTCTAACGTGAGACTTGATGCAATTCTGAAAAATGCGGTCAAAATGATGTGGTGCTATTGTTGGTAACAAAGACGATAGAGTTCAACAAAAGGAAGACCAAATGATTATAACGGGAATAATCGAGGAAAATGTTTGTCTGAGAGTCTAGGTTTGAATTTAGGTTCTTGTGTTAGTACATTCTTGTCATCTGAGGATGAAAAAACCTCAAGAATAACCATTTTCAATGACAACGGCACGGAAAGCACGAACAGCGAGAAAATCAGGAGGCACGAGATGGCGAAGAAAGATTGTGATTGGCCATCAAATTACGATTCCGGGAAACGCGGCTCCGAAGGACAGGAAGCAACGGTTAGAGAGTATTTTTGATCAATTACCATAATGACGAGTACGTAATGAAAAGATCTGATAAGGTGAGTAAATATTTACAGGCTCATTATCACGTAGCACATAATTGACGGCACTCACTCTCCGCGCCGTAATGAATGCAATTTTTTCGCCAACCAAGCGCGCTTTTCATTGAACTTGGACGTGGCAAGAAAGAAGGGCCGCGATTCCATTGTTGGCGATTCGCGAAAAACCCTTTGGATCTCCGCCGTGCTAAGGAAGAACGCCCTATGAGCCTTTAGATGTTGCCATATTTTCTTCAATAAAAACCGAATTTACTGAGTAAATTGTGAATACTTGTTTTCCAAATTTTTCACACAATTTTGTACGAACTTTAATCTACAATATCTAAAGATTCCAAAGAAAATTATGCATAAATTTCCTCAAAAATACACTTTTTATCCAAGGAATTTTAGCAACTCTATAATGTTCATACGGCGTTTTTCCTTAATCCGGCAGATCTAGTACGGGAGTGATGAAATAACTGTCATCATTGTTGAGAGGGATGGATTTGAAGATATCCTTTTCGTCATCATTTTTTTCAGAAAAAGGACGTAATTAGTCTTTCTTAACGCCAAGTTTCCTAGCGCAAATCGTATTTTTGCCAAGGAACCGTTTAACATTTTTACATTAAAATTCATCGTTCTCTCTATATGCTACACGCAAAAATCAGAAAAATTTTGGATGTAAATTGCACTGTCGTAATCTTAGTAAAATTTGAATTGTTTCAGTCAATTTTACAGCCTTGGACTAGGGTTACATTCTTCTTTCTCTGAAAAATGACGATTTTAAGGAGGAGATTGAAAAACGGTATCACATCAGCACCATGTATGATGGATTGATGAATATTTTTGGAGACTTGAACGCAGGAGTAGGAAAAGTAACTCAAAACTTACCCCGTAGAGCAGACCGAATTCATCGTATGGGAGCTTTTGTTCTTTCGGAACGACGTCTTTGGCAAGTTTCAGAAGCGGATCTTCGTATCCCCAGAGGAGCTGTCCAACGGATACTTCGACGAAGGGCTTGATTTTCAGGATGTCCATGATGGAGGCCATGGCCAGCCTTAAGAATCTCGCCGCATGTTTACTTTGAGAAGTAGCGCTCTGGAAAAGGAAACATTTCAGTTAGAGGCTACTAAAACTTAACAAACATGAAACCACAAAAAATTCGAATATTTAATGCTTCTAGGGAAAAATCAATATTCACTTTAACACAAATCATGTCACAAATTAGGTGTGTCGATGATTTGTTCATTTTCTACGAATTTAATCTTGCATCAAGCAACATCGTAGAAGAACAAAATCAAAACACACATCCTTATTGAAACATGGTCGCATCGCGCTCTCAATCTATACATGCCCAGAACAATTATTACGAAATATTACTCCAGAACTACTTTGAGGATGAAATGTAAACAAGTGTAAGGACTGAAGAAGGAGGAAAATATTTTACATTATGAAGTCTAGACACGTTCAATTACGGAATGTCAAGAATACACGTGGTGATATTAACTTCTTACATTGTTTGACAAAAGAGCGAGATTAACTAGCTCAGCTATTATTTTAACAAGACTAATGACTGCATCTTTTCAAGACTTCATCTTTTGTGCAGTTCACATTGTGGGAAACTCGAGCGATAACTTGTAACTGTTCAAAATAGCGACCAATCAACCATCAAGTCACACGAGTGAGTCGATAAGTTTTCCTCAAATATAGTTTTCGCTGTCTATTTTGGCGTGTACACGTTAGAACGGCATGTTCTAACGGCATGCCTCTCCGATCGTTTTGACCTCCGCCTTATACGCAATGTTACGAGTTTCCTCGGTGCTTATAAGAATAATTAATAATTTAAAAATATGCTTTACTACCCTGTTTTTCTAAAGAGTGGACCAATTGCAAACTTTACCTAGAGCAAGAAGGAGAATTATTTCTTATAGAATGACTGACAAATCACGATGCGCGCATTGAGGAAGTCTGAGATGCACTCGTAACCTCACAATCAGCATAAGAAATATGAGCTATCTCAAGCTTTCCTCTTCAAAAACGATACTATGGCACAGACGAACATTTCGTAAGAGGACTCGTTCCATCCAACCCTTGTGCCTTTTAGGAAGTGACACAATATTCAACATGACCGACGCCGACCAGCCAAAAAACACGGGGTTTTATCAACTGGCGCGTTTATAATCGCGTTTTTCTTACGTTGGTAAAGATCATGGTGCTTCCTCATGATTTGCGCGCGAAAGCGTCAGCCATGTTTAATATTGTGTATCATCCTACTGTGGAAGGGTTGGATCGAACAACTCCTCTGACAAAATGTTCACATGTGCCGTAGAATCGTTTTTGAAGCGGAAAGGTTTAAAAAACGCATATTTCTTACGCAGATTGTAAAGTTAAGAGTGTTTTTCAGACTTTTCCAATCCGCTCATTGTGAATTTTGAGCGGTTTTCTGTTATGGACATTTCTTCTTTTTGCTCTGTCTGAAGTTTGTACCCGGCCCATTTCCGCTGTCTATTTTGGCGTGTGCATGGTATACCGCCGTTGCGATCGTTTCGTTCCCCGCCTAATATCGTATACTATTTCGAGTTTCATGGTTGCTTTATGAGAATAATTAAGAAATATGCTTTACTACCCTTGTTTTTCTAACAAAAATATATCATAATGATTTGGCAACGCTGTTTGGCCTACCGTGGCTGCGCGGCGGCGATATTGGATATTCCTTCCGCCGTTGGGAGCGAGACTTTCTCTGCAGCCCGTTTCCGCCCACCCGCCTCTATCGTTTCAGTATCGTGAACTTTTAAATTAGAGGCGAATTAATTGACTGCACTCATCCATTATCGATTCTTATCGGAAGGCAGTTTCGTACGCCGTTTGTAAAGCTTATCTTTACTCTAGTTTACAACTGCTGATCAAGTGCTGATCTCTTTTACAGCGTCCTTTACAATTTTGGGAAGACTGTACTACAAAAGGGTATCTCAATTTCACTCCTGATGAAAACAGAATTGGACCCAATTACAATGATAAGTCTGCCTCCGATTTAAGTTTTGGGAAGAATTAGAAGTAATAATTTGGGACTACACACATCTATCGATGGTGAAACTGCAGGTATGCGTATTTCGGTTTGCGGCATTGCTGACTTCCCGTGGAACTTTAATCTCTACAAGGACATTTACCGAATGTATTTTAACCGAAGGTCATTTTTTTTAAATTTTGGTGATTTTCTCTCTTTGTGTGAGGCATATTCTATGAAAACTTTGAGCCATGATGTTGTCTCGGTCTCCTTTTAAAAAATAACATAGGAACAGAGATTTCGAAAAAACGCAACCGAGGTACGTAGTTTTGCGGTTTCACCGATAAGTCAGATAAGGATGCCCATGAAATTAAAACAGAATAAAATTATATTAAAAAAAAGTATGTAAACATTGGAAAAAGTAAATGGGCAGGAAGGGGGGGGGTAGCCTTCCTCAGAAATCTACTTGGACCTTCCAGAAAATGTGGGAAATTTAGTTTCATCTTCGAAATCGTATTCAATCAACTTTTCGGTGAGCAGAACTCAAAACTATGCTCTTGAAATAGCCCAATTTTTAAAAATATTCCCGGAAAAGCCCCCCCAATCCTCCTATGAAGCTGCTAATTTACCGAAATCTCCTTTCCGGGTTCCTTTCCATGCCCACAACTTCCCTTAACGAGGTGCCCTTTTGCCTGTCCCCATACAAAGCTCTTAAATAGTTCCCATATATGCTAATAAAAATCATTCAGTCTGCAGTCTCTCTTAGGTGGAGATAGAAAATGACTTTCAAGAGAAGAAAAAGAAGGGAAAAAGTTGCCTGATTATCAAATCAATGTGTGAGCAAATGTAAAAGATGAACGCCAAAAGATTTCCTCGGCGTTTCTGCAAGATTTTGTGCGAGTGAAGTGCCAGCTTAAGATGAGCAAACACTCATTCAAATCAAACACGGATGCTAAATCCCCAGCTATGAATATGACGCGTTGAATTTAAAACGCGGGCTGAGGGGTATCATTTAAAATATACACACACTAACGACTAAGAGCTCAACACAACGAAAATCTCTTTTCCGTTTGCTCATCTCGTCTGAGCATACGGCATTCATCGTGCACTATGTGCTTTATTCAACATGTGCACCACTCAATCAAAACAGTGACGGGCAGTCATGCTGACAGCGCAAAACTCTGGGCCTACCTCAACTTCCTGTGAGTTGAGAATGAATGAAAAGGAAAAATTCGGTGCTCGATTGTACTACTGTGCCATGATAAATGAAGAGCTATGGTTTTTTCTTTGTAAAATTATTCTCTCAAATAAGTTATGTCTGAAGAAAAACACCTCAGGGATACAAAATGAAGTTCGCAGTCTTCCTGTATCTATTAATTATCTTCAGACATGTAGCCAGTATTGCTGGGATTAATTTTGTTTTTGTAAGTTTGTGATTTGTTTTCTTGTGAAACAGAATTGTACTTTGATTCCACAATTGTGACTTGCGTTATTGCGAACGTTTTGTATATTTTTTTGGCCTCCCGGCGGCAAATATATGTATTTAATGGAGCGTCTAGAAATAGTGGATGCCAGCCCCATGATCAAACAATTTTCCCTTTAAATGGGTATTTTTCATAACTGATATGCATTATCAATTTTTGGATTCAATTCCCATGAAAATTTTTGGCTGCGAGTAGGCCATTGTTGGTGATTTTAATGCTTATTTTCATAGCAATCGGGTTCACCCTTCCCCCAAAATTAAAAGTATAGCTTCCCTTAACAGCTCCTGCTTGTTTTGAGGAATGCTTTTGTCGCGCACAGAAAGCGATTGATCATGCCACGTAAAATTTTAGTCGTGACGAAATAAGCTTTTTTCTTTTTTTGTCACCATGAAATTTTTCTGGTTGTTACCAATAACCTTGGATGGCTTAAAAATGGAGCCCTACGTTTCCAACAGCATACAACGGAGATTAGTAGACGTTTTGCGCCAAGCTAAAAATATAAAGACGTGTGCACCACATCCTCACAGAAAACGCCTTCAAACTTCTCTTTAGCAACCATCAACGAGGGGCAATAACCCATATTAGTACAAAAAAAATAATTTAATAAAATCGATACACATTTTTCAATTTTTTGTGCCATTGTACTACGAAAAGAGTAATAAGTTTGTAACGATTTTGTTAAATAATATTTTTGTCTATATTTTCCGTTTTCCCCGGAAATAATGTTGAAGAAAGAGACAATGTATGTGCATATGAATGTCCATTTGGCATTTATTCTCTGTGATATCTTTCTATTTTAGGCTACACATATTTATATTTTTAACTATGGCGGTTCACCTTTACATGGAAATATTTTTGATGGTATATAATATGTGTACTAAATTTATATGCAGCTTATAAAAATAACACCAGAAATCGCCAGGAGAAAATCTACTTACGAGCATAGGAATGTTGGGGACGACGACCATATCATCTTCGGAGCCGACGGATTGTTCGGGGTCGAACCTGAAGATTTTTCTCTGGTTGAACGTCAGCGTACCGTTCTCGTTAAATGTCAGGTTCACCTTTTCCCACGTTTCGCTGCAACAGAAAAGATCCGAAATCAGACTATGTGACGTCACATTCCGACTTATCATTAGCCTCCGTTTCCGCCTCAACGCTCAACCGAACGGAGTTGCAAAGTGAGGCATAGTAAAATCTTTATATCAACACGACGTTGAAGCTGAGAATAATACTGCCGTCCAAAGAAAGAACGCCGTAAATCAATCAAGATTTTCCCTTGTTTTTCAGAACTTCACACTTCATAAAATAAAAACTCTTTTACCCATTCACCTCAAATTCTCCGGTTGAGTTCTTGATGAAAACATTGTCCCAAGGTACACACGTGTTTCTGCGCTAATGCGTTGTTTCCAAAAAATGTAAAATGACGTTTTTGAGTTGTACGGCAGAATACCTTCCGATTCAATTTTGAGGGACTTCAGCAGAGATACTTTTTACGATCATACTTGAAATCACCAGTCATTTCTAGCCGTTCCTCACGAAAGCCAGACGTGTGGTTACAACGACCAAAGGTATAGTCGATTTAACCAGATTTTAGCTGATTTGACCTTACCTCTGGCTGGTGAAACTACACTTCACGATAGCACCAAAATTAGCAAGAAATATACTTTTTCCGTGATGCGAATGGCCAAGAGACAGACATGTTAAGGAATGAGCGAATACTGTATTGTTAATTTGTTACGATTTGGCAACGCCAGAGGTGGCATATTAGCCTCCGCGGTAACTCGGTAATGCCACCATTCTTACGTGTCGAGTACTTGGGAAGAGCCTGGCTCATCCTCATTTGAAAAGAATCATCCTTCAACCTTCATCGCCGAATGAATACAAATGAATCGAGCTGGCTTCGGCCTGGCATCGTGGAACACGAACATTTTTGGTGACGCGTCCGCAGACGAAATATTTCAGAGACCCCGCATACCTAAATCCTCGCGCCGTAAAATTTTATTTGGGAAATATCGCCGTTTTCGTCTTATAATGACTGATGAGCGAAGTGTTAATCAATCTTTCTGAAAGTGATTTTATTTGCTCGCTGGACATGTAATTTGGAAGTACCCGATCACCCAAAGAAAAATCTCTCGTCGCATAGTGGATCGAGTTAGTGGGAGAGGTCGGACGAAATTTGAAAACTTTACAAGCTCATAGCCGCCTTTACAAAATTTTCAAGTCTTAAAAATGGTCCCATTCGTTTTTTCGTAAAATTGTCTATTCGCTCCTCAAAATTTAAAATTTGACGAAATAAACATCGAAATTTACAGTTTTAGTAAAAAAATTCCTGACCGGCCTCTCCCATTGATTCGGTCCATTGTGCGTCGTTTTGCAGACTAAGAAACAATCATTGTAATCGTTGAATGCAACTATTCGTGTTTAATGGATGTGCGTGTTGCATACAGAAAAACTGAAGGGGCTTTTTGAGCTCCGTTTTTGTCACTTGAAATGCCTTTTAGCTACCAAGTTGTTGTTACTACAGTTCGATAGCGCAACATTTTTACTTAGAAATTGTAACTCTACGAGAATTTTAAGTGAAAAAAAACACGACACTATCTCCCTTCCCCCTTTTTTTACTCTTGGATTTTCCCCCTTCTTTCTCTTTCTCTCTTGATAAGCATTTTCAAATCATGCCCACTGAAAACCGAGAACCATGGTAGCGTGCCAGCATACACGACCGGATGATGTAGAGACCACGGATGAGAAGTGGCTAGGGAATCCCAATTTAACTTCAAAACACGTTTTACAAATAACCAACACGCTGGAAGCTCCTGAGTTTTCGCGGTTGCCACGTACGGAGCTGTAAATATTGTGATTTTTTTTCTCTTTTTTTTTCTCATTTTTTCACAAATGTTGTCCATGTTTAGAAATACAGTGAAAATATTGTAGGAATCCAGCATTAATCATCGACGCACTTTGAACAAATGAAAATGAAAATGAAGGTTTAAACGTTGGTTATCAAGGGATTTATTACCATTTTTACATTTTGATGAATGATAAACATTGCATCAAAGTAAATTTTTGTAAGTCTACTTTTACTGTATTATGGTCAAGTTTTGTGTTAATAATTTCGTTCTCTCAATAACTTTTGAGGTTAAAGATTCCTGAAAAAAGATTATCCCGAGAAATAACTTTTAATATGTTTTATTATGTGTGGTGTTGCATGCATAAATATTATTTTCACCGTAGTGAATGGACGGTATTGGGAAAGGCAGCAAAGGCTTATGGATTCAGAGTATTGCTAATACAAAAATCAGTCCTACCAATACAATTTCCTACATAAACTTGGCAAGCAAAACTAACTGCCATAACAGGTTTTAAAAACGGAGCAAAAAGAAAAATACCCTGATAATGAATTTTCTTCCTGTGTAGATGAGATCTAAAGGCCAACAAGAGGAAAATAATATCCAGGGGGAACTGACACCCGTAAACAAACTCAACCAGTTTTTAAACTTGATGGGAGTGGTGTATGGGGAAAATTATTAGGAGGGAAGGGAGGTAATTCCTATAGAGCTGTCAAAATCCAGAACCAACTAGAGTGTATTTGCAAGCGAAGGTTACTGTTCATTTTCCATTTGAACTTGAATATGAATGATTTTGCGGTAAGATGTAACGCCTCTGCGGTAATACGAGGATCTCAAAGATGAATGTTGTATTCTGCTCACAGGCTGATATGATTCAGCATATTTTCAGTTAAGGCTCATTCGGTAATCAGCTTTTAAACGAAATGTAAAACTAGTAGATTTAAAAAAAACAAATGAAATAAAATAAATTGACAAATACACAATGTTCAACTAAATTTTGCTAATTTTTACAATTATTGGCATCACTCGATCAATAGTTTCATCTGTCAGAATCTTCCTTTTATTTATATTTCCTATTATTTCCGCAGGAGAGTATTCTCAACGTCTATACTGCCGTGCTAAGGAAGAACGCCGTATGAGCCATAGGCGTTGCCAATTTTCTTTCAATAAAAACCAAATTTACTATGAAAATTGTAAATATTTTTTTCCGAAATTTTTAGACAGTTTCTTACGCAATTTAATCTAAAATATCTTAAAATCCAAAGGAAAATGTGCGCGACTTTCGTCAAAAATATATATTTTATCGAGGGAAATTTGACAACTCTCAAATGTTCATACGGCGTTATTCCTTTAGCACGGCAGTATAAACGTCTGCGCCTATTATATGTTGATATTAAATTAGTTGAAAATTGAGTCGTGGTATCTAAAGTCAACAAATAAAGTATTATATTTATGTTTCTTTTCTTCAAAAAAAGAAATGTTGACTCGACAGCATTTACGAGCAAAACAATTATGGTCAGAACTGTGACAATGATATTGGCATAAGAGCGGTGACAAAACTAGAAAACAGGAGACCTAACAGTAGGCCGCCAGAGCAAACAGACTTTGAGATGGTATGTGAAATGACACCTATTCTCGTACCGGCGTACTGAGCAGCTTTCCCCCATTAGTTACAAAACTTGACAGACATTCTTTCAACTTTTTGACAATGAGTGAAGAAAGTGGCACTGCTCAGTGAAATAACTTACACAGCTCGGAACCTTTTTTTCTTTTTTTTATTCTTCAAAATTAATTCGCAAAGTAAGTGTGTAAACTCGCAAATTCTCGCCTATACTAACAATTGGATAAAAAAAAAAAAAAAAAAAAAAAAAAAAAAAAAAAAAATCGATTACATCATCCGTCCGATTAGTAGTCTTTGATTTTATAGAATTAAGAGAAAAAATCGGTCACGTTTAACGTGAGAAATGCTATCAGTAAATACTGGCCATAGAAGCTTGCCTCTGAAAAACAAGTTCGTAATAATTGAAATGTGTGCGGTTCATTGCGTAATTTAATTTTCACACCTCATAACCGAGTAACGATATTTCCAAGTCTTGAGACAGACAAGTTAGAGAAAGTAAGCGTTAATATGAAGATAATTTGTAACAAATTATCGCTCCTTTTCCGAAGCCTCATTATGACGAACTGAGGCGAGATGAGGGTAGGGGCTGAATCTTGAAACTTGAAATTTAGGTCCCATCAATTTTCAGGTAGGCAACTTTGCGTAAGTCGTATTTTATTGGGACATGAAAAAACGAAGGCACTTGATTTGATTTTAGATTATCCAAAACTCAATCTCATAATAAAGTGGTGATTCCACATTAATAGATGAAGCCCATTGAACACAAAGACATTAGTGCACTATTTTTTAGCAAGCCTCAAAAAATGTATACTTAATGGAGCTAATGATTTTTAAGTCAAGGAGGGAAGAGAGACGCAAAGAAGATTTTTCAGCTTCTCCTATTTTTAAAAATTATAAGACGGAGATTTTAACAGAAACTCATCGCAAGGCACGTTTCGTGTGGTGACTTTTCGAAGCTTTCAAGCGTATAAGATTGTAGTCAAGATTGTGCCATCAGAGAATGAATAAAAATGAAAATGAGATTTAAAGAACCTTTCCTCAAAACTTAAAATTAAGAATTTCACCAGTGTTTAAAATTGATCTTATGCCACTACATACGACAACCCTGCGACCACTGATGCCTGATGTTTGCCTTTCGATTTCCGGTGACCCAACCTCATAGCGCATCAAATGGAATTGTGGTGCCAGCATCACGACCTCTCTTACAATCAATGATAATGCTTTGCCAAGAAATGAAGTGACCATTGAATCACAGTAAGTGTTTAAACTTCTCGCCAAGTTGCGGATACTGTTTACCGGTGAGACATGAGAAATGTAGCGTAGAACTCAAAATTCAGGGATAAATACATATTTGGAAGATATTTAGGTATATAGATTAGTGCACTATATACTTTTCATGAAAATTTTTTAGTTATTGATTCAAGATAATTTTTTAACACGCGAAAAATAATGAAAAATCGAAAGGATTAGTAGAAATCGACGTATTTCAAATATCTTTGTCCCTTTTTACGGTCAAATTAAGACATTGATTCATAGTTTCTATGCTTCCTGTGCTTTTTTAAAACAAAACTAAATTATGTTCAATTTGAAAATTCTCAAAAATGTATTAG